AACGATTCTTAAGATTGGGGAACAAAGAGAAAATTTTACCTCTTTCTTCATTTTTTTAACATCATTCTCAATCATAACTTTATGTCGCTTTTTGGAAGTTACTTCTTGAAAACCATCATCAGTGCCACACAGTAAGTTTGGATCATCATTTACTTCAGGATAATCATCGATAATTACAACACCTTGAAAAAAGATCATAGTGAGAAACAATGTATAAAAAGAAACCATTTCTAGTTCATGCACTAAAGGTAACAAGAGGGAAAAACTTAAAACCTACTTGCATAATTATTCAAATCATATCCTTCCAAACCACCTGTTTTTTCCTTTTCAGTTTTAGGGAGTTTTGGAACAGAAACTTCCGCTTTAATACCTTTTCTGAAATTCAAAGTAAAACTTTTAACATTTTATAAGGCACACACAAATATTGTACAATTAGCTTAAAAAAGGAAAAGATTATCATACAGTCAGCAAATTCCTGAAAGCATCTAACTCAAAATGAGATTGAACTATAATTTTATCTAAGTAACATCTTCTTTCAATAAAGGGTAATTTGCATAATAGGTTGATTATTTGATAAAGAATATCATTGAATAGCATGGCCAAATATTTGGAGAAGTTGACATCAATCATAGTAATTTTAAGTGTTTGGAAGAAGCGCACCACAAGTAACATAAATAACATTAAGTGAATAATGTTACTTATAAACTGGACTGAGTGACTTGAAAATTAACTTGCTAAATTTTCAAATTTATAATTGTAAATAAGCCATTCCATGTTTGGACTGATTTTTTTTAAAAATATAATGAAATTCGGTGTACATAATATGGAGTTTTTTCAACTTTTAGATTTTTAATTTAAAAATTCCATAAGTTATTGACTTGTGGCAATCTGAAATTTACATAAAACACTTTCAAACACTATTACAAAGCAAAAGAATTGATCTTTCAATCAATATCCTATTCGACTTTCAGGTAAAAAGTCAAAGTATAAACATGACCTTATCTGATATTGAACAAATCAAAATATGCATTCTTAAAAGATGATTTTTTAAAAAATAACTGTACCTAGAATAATAAAAAAAAAAGAAGCGCTGGTATTATATTTCTATAACTTCAATCAACATTTGCTGTTACTTTTCAGCCAATTAACCAAAAATTTTAAAATTCTAATTTATCTGAAAGTACAAAGAAACTATCAATTATATAAATTAGTAATTGTGTAAAGCTCTCAATTATTTTTGTCAAAACCAAAAAAAAGAACCTGTATTTAAATGCCATTCAAGAGTTTTAGCTATTATAATAGCATTCTTATTAATCTTCATTGAAATATATGCTTTTGTTTCAAAAAATATGGCAAAATTCAAAATTTTTAATTTTTTTCATGAAAAATTATAATCGAAAATATGATGCAAAAAATAGTAGGGTGACCTGGGGTAATTCCTGATCAAAAAATGCAAACATCTATTTTGTGAAAAAACTATTCAAGATAGAATTTTAATATTTTCTGGAAGTTTGAGGCTATATGAGATGAGTCCTATGCTACCTTCTTTTGTTTGAAAATCTAATTAGAATTTAAAAGATTTTAAATTTTTAGTGATCAGGAATTACCCCTTCTCTTGATCATTTCTGGGGTAATTCCTGATCACTTCTGGGGTAATTACTGATCACCAGTTTTTATAGTAAATGGGCTGTTTAAAAATAATTATAGAATGGTAATTAACAAATAAGACATTAAGATCAAACAAATAAATAAAAAAGATATTTTTAATCAGCTATTAAAACATTTTTATCTAAAAGCAGGAATAAAGATTAACACTTCAGCTCTGGCAGCAGCTCTCACACTGAAATTTTCATTTTCGATCATTAGAAGAAATTTGCTGTTTTTGCTTTCTAGAAGCTTGGTATCCTTTTTAGGCTTATAATTTCTCACCATATTTATATTAGGTTAATTTATCAACTTAAAAATTATTCTAACAAAGTACACCCATAAAATTAAGATAGAAGAAAGGTAAGACAAGCTAGAAATGGTGCATATCAGAACACATTTGTCTTGTATACAGTTAAAAACAAATTTTGTGATTATTGTTAAAATATATTTTATAGTTGTTCCACTTAATAAATATGAACTGTTATTTAAGAAAAGACAATTGACTATTAGTTATTTTTTATACTATTTATAAGAAGAAATGACAATGATCAGGAATTACCCCAGTGATCAATAATTACCCCATCTGTAGGGGGCAACATTTGATACAGTTTCCTATAATCAATTATAATGTTTACAGTAGATGTGAAATAATTAAGCAAAAGCCTACACTATTTTTATATCAAGGAAAAAGAAAGTAACTCAAAATATTTATTATTAAGAGAAGGAGGGGGATCTTTGCAGAAATGTGCACATTTTGAAACCCATCCTTGAAATGGAAAATACAGAAAGCATTTTAAAAGATACTTATTTTGTTAGATTAAACAAAAAACTGTTATTAAGTAAATGTAGTTATACTTTAGTAAAGTGAACAAGCATTCTTGTCTATGTCTCAAATTTAAAAAAAATATTATTTTTTTAAATAAAACTCAGGTGATCATTATTTACCCCAGAAACAGAGTGATCATGAATTACTCCGGGTCACCCTATAGCTTACAATTCAAAATCTTTTAGACTAATATTTAATTATATAATCTTTTCAACTAAGTATCTTTTTTTTTTTGCATAGAATTCACATCGGATAAATTTTTTGATAATTTTTAAAATTTTTTAAATTTTCTTTATAATTCCTTACGATATGGTAAAATACACAAAAAGAAAAATTAACATTTAGTGGCACAAGCTTTGGAACACTCTTGACCAAACTATATTTCTGAAATTGCAACAACCCTGCATATTTTGGGGGTCAGAAATCCGAATTCGCCGAAAAAATATTTTTATTCAGAAAAGGAATACTTTTATGTTTAATTTCGTAACATAAAATATAGTCTACACCAATTAGCATATTTGAGGTCATCCCCTCAAACCTTTAAGATTGAGTCCCAATAGAAAGTGAAGATTCTATCAGGGTGTTCCGTTTCTACTTTGCACACTGTTTTAATTGTTTGCACCATATAAATCAACTTAGAACATATGATTTTTTTAAAGGTAAAAACTGTTAAAAGCATTTTAACTGGCAAATTTCTTTAAAACAATTTGTTTGTTGCAAATTTGTTAAGCACTTTTTTCTATAAAATATCAATAAAATCTAATTAGTTGGACAAGAAAATAATTATACATACAACTGACTCAGTTCAGCCTAGTTCTTTATTTTTTTTAATAAAGAAAAAAAAATTTTTTTAAGGCTTACCTATTTGTAAGATCAGTTAGAGCAGCCTGTACTCCATTTGGATCTTGTAACTTAATTTCGTCCATTATATACACAGCAGTAGTCGCTTCATTTTTTGTCGGAAAAGCACCAGTTTTAGAAGATTGATTTCCACTACGACCATTGCTGTTCCGATTGACATTGCCAGGGTGACCTGCACTACTGGAAGGTCTTGAATTATTACCATTGCTGGTGATAGGTTTTCTATCACCACCAGTGTTAACAAAGTTACTATTTTGCCTACCTCGCATAGAGTCCCTAGAACGATTATCACGAGGTAGAGTGTCTCTCTGACGATTTCTATCACTATTATGTAGTCCACCACGACGCGAATCATTCATTCTGCGGTTTTGCATACCTTCGTTAACAGGTCGCTGACTGGAAAAACTTTTCCTCGTAGTTGATAACCCTTTATCTCTAGCTTCTTTTTTACGCACATCATCTTTATCATCTTGTCGATCACGCCGATCAGCAACATCACTACTTTCTGAAGCAGTTTCCCATTCCTCATTCCCTACATCAGATAAATTTTCCTTGCCACCTTGCCCTAATTTCGCCATTGGGCCACCAGGACCTTGATATCCTCCCCCGCTACGGCCTCGACCTCTTCCTCTAGTAGGCTGTTCATATTTATCATAGCGCCGCTCATGCTTTCTTTGAAAACGAGGAGGTAACTGATCATAACGACCCTGTCTACGCTGTTGAGGCCTTTCTAAAGAACGGGATTTGCTGGAATCTTTAGGATAAGCATTACTTGCATTCTCAATAGAAGTAACATTTGACTTAAAATCTCCTTGACTGGATTCATTGAAATTTTCTTCTATTATTTTTTGATCTTCTAACTTTTCCTGTTTATTGCTTCCAAAGCCAGCTCTGGATGGCGGTGGCCCGTAACTACTCGGCCCGTGCCTGACACCACCTCTTCGAAACGACAAAGTACCAGTCCCTCTTCCTCTTCTAGTAGGTTCACCCCGAGGAGCAAAACCACCCTTTTCTTCTTTCAGTTTTTCAGTTTCGTAAGGCTTTTGCTCACCACGTTGATTATTTTTCTCTTTTTTATATTTATCACTTTTCACACTTGTTTCTTTAATTGCACCAGATGGATCATTTATGAAATTCTTTTCTTCTAAAGATACATCAGTTCCTTGATATTTCTCAGCCTGGGCACTTTCAGTCGTAGAAGCACTAGCTTCATCAACAGAAACTTCACTATCTTCATCCTTAGAGCGTAAATGTCCCAACTTGGATTCTTCAACCTCAGAACAAGAGGTGTCATCACTATGCTTATCTTTCTTGTCATCTTTAACTTTATCTCTTTCTTTTTGACGGTCAAACCTAGGACCCCTTTCGACTCTAGATCTACGATATTCACGTTTACCACGGAAAGTTCCACCAGACGGATGGCCTGAGCTTGGCTGCATACCAGTAGTCCCATAGGTGCCAGACCTATTATTACTACCTCCACGAGATCTATTATTATCAAAACGGCCATTCCCACCAATACTTCCAGTTGATTGATTGCTGGAAACAGATGCATTTCCTCTAGAACGAGAATTAACACCCCTTTCTCTACCATCGCGTCTTTTATCCCTATTTTGTTCATTCCTTACAAAGGAATGATCATATTTTTCAGTTCTAGGTTTTTCTTTGTCTTCAGATAATGCACTAGATTCTTTTTTAGGCATTTCACTAATATTTTCATTTTCATTCTTTTTAGGAATGTCCTTATTGTAAGTCTTAGGTTTTTCATATTGTTGTTGCTCAAATTTATTATCAGTATATTTGTCACTTTCTTTTTGGGAACACTCTTTTAACTTTTCATTTTTTTCCTCCTTAGCATCTTTGTCTTTTTTCACACTTGTTTCAAAATCACTCTTTTTTGTAGAAGCGTCTTCTTTTGGAGATTCTGATTTCTTTTCAGGAATCACAGGAGTATTAGCAGCATTAGATCTTCTCAAAGTCGTCAGATTTTTTTTAGGAGGCCCAATGCTCTCTATTTGCTTAGGCGTGATGGGTGGAGGATGTGGATACCATTCACGTTCTAAAAAAAAGAAAAACTTATAAATTTTAATGACTTTACTTAAAACTATACATATATAAACTTATTTATAACAAGGACAAGAATATTACACTAACATAAAAACTTTTCTTCCTTCATAGTTACTATATTCAAAATCATTTACAAAAATATGTAGTAATTATTTAAGTTTAAATGGTAATATAAATGATAATTGAATAATCATGAGGAAAGTGCACAAGAATTTTAAATGTTGTGTTTGAGGGAAATATTTATTTCAAATGGTCAATAGAAAATTATATTAGCTGTTCATTCAATTATCAAATAAGGACGACTGTACATGCAATTGCATGATTATGTTTTTTACTTACTTTTTTAAACAGTATTAAATTACATGCTTCTTGATCGCATTAATTACAAATTTAAATTATTTCTTCATAAAAAAATAAAATTACTTTTATTTTCTGCAGGATAAGGAGTTTCACCCCAATCAATGGTGCTTTTTTCTTTCTTTTCTTCCCTGGAGCTTCCGCCTCTCCTTTCTCGTTCTAATTGAGAACCTCCAAATTCACTATGCTCTAAATACCTGGAAAATTAAATGTTGACATTTGTTAGGATCATGAAATTTATTGTAATATTGTATATATTTAACAGCTTTGATTCTCTAAATCTTTAAACACCTTTCAGCAAATTTAATTTTAGCTAATTGTGTGACAAACAGCTTTGGCTAAAGACCTCAAATAATAATTGCTACGATAAAAAATTTGAATATTTGCTGAAATGAATTTAGAATAAAATTAGCACACATTTTGTAAGATAATAAACGGTCAACAAGGATCCATTAAAATTCATTAGTTTTAAGTTAGCCAATTTGTCATATCAGCAAACAATATAATCATTTGTTATAATCAAACACCATAATATTATTCATTTTAATTTTAGAATGCTTTTAACTAGAAAGATGTTAGGAATTTTATAGTTTATACAAACTCTTCAGTTATTTATAGAAAAAGGTAAAAAATTTATTAATGTAAATTGAAATCAGTAAATATTATTGAAGTAAAATTTAATATGTTCATATTTCTATTTAAATTAAACAAATTAAAAATTTCAAGGTACCTTTCATCTTTCGTTGATTCTCTACTAGCTCGGGAATCTCTACTATCCGGCCTCTGGGGTCTCTCTTTATCCCACCTTTCTTTTTCTGGCCTCTCATACCGTTCGTTTCTGTCTTTCATTGGCTTTTCACGGTTTAGCTCACGAGAATCATCAAAAACACTCTAGAAAATCATTTTGTAAAATAAGATTCCATTATTTAATAAATAAGATATGCTTCAGAAAAAATTCACTTACTCTTTCTTCATATTCATGTGTGTTTGCCCACATGTTAGATTTGCTTCTTTCTTTGGTGTCCCTGTTATCAGATTTTTCTTTGTAAGAGTCTCTGCCTTTATATCGATAATCATGATTTTCATATTCTTTGTCTCTGTATTTAAAAACAAAAAGAGTTTTAGCAAGATAGTTATGTTAATAGAAAATCTGTCAATTGTAAATTTACAGTACCTCTAGCTAAAAGTATTTAACAACTTAATTAATAATGATTTAAAAAAATTAATGAATGAATATTAATCAAATATTTTTTCAATATTTATACATAATTGTTTGAATATCTAAACTGTAACAATGCATTAAACAAGCAAAAAATAATAATACTTGCTTATTTAATTGACATCCTGTTTTTTTTTCCTCCTTTAAACTAATCAATATTGGACTTTATGGAAAGCATAACTTAAATATTCAAATTTTATGAACAATAAATTGAAATTAAGAAAATGAATCAAAGATTTCAAAACAAACCTTCTTTCTGGTTCTCTTAAATGAGTTTCATAAGGTTTGTCATCTTTTTCAACAGTACCTCTTTTAAATTCATGTCTTTGATCAAGTGCCTTACTTGAATCTTTTTGGTCAAAGTAAGGTTCATTAACTGAAGTAGAGCTCCAACTTTCATAACCTGTAAATTTAACATACATTAAAACACTAAACTAAATAATTACTTTAGTTTATTATTGAATTTACATTTTAGTTATTGAAAGTTTTTTCATAATACACAATTTTCTAACCGAACAAGTATAGAAACTGGTTTATTTGCAGGAAAAACAATGCATGAAAGGATGTCGTTAGATCTCACAAGCATGGCTGCCAACTTGTTAAAAACAAAAATAGGAACACAAAGCATAAGCCAATCAGAGGTAATTGTGATACTAAGCGAAAAACCCTGAAAATTTTATATGCAAAAAAATAATATTTATTAATGAACTACGTTTAAAATTTTACAAAATTTTTTGAATCAACATTTTCAATTAAATTTCCTACCAAAGAATACACCTTTATAGTAACTAATGCAAAAAAAAAAAAAAAAATTCTTAAAAGAATGTGCTTTTAAAATCACATGAATATTAATAACAATGAGTAGTTCTTAAATCACGTATAAATATGAAAATCTATGTTTGATATTACAACTGCGTAAATATAAAATAAGACATTAGATAAACTCTCGGGAAAAAAAAAAAAACAATTGCGATATTGGGTTTTAGAAATGTGCTATTACAAATCGCAATGTTGGAATCGTGATGTACTCTTTACATTTCGCAAATATAAATCACAACGCATAATTAAATCAGATAAGCATGAAAAGTAATGATTGATATTAAAATAGAATGAATAAGAATCTCAATATTAGCAGATAGCACAACAGTTCCAAATATTCTAAATGGGAAAAATCAGTTAAATCAAAGGAATGAAATTGGTACAAAAATCATGCATGCAAACTGAAATTTAAAAAAATTAGAAAATTTCATCGGATTTTAAGTTCTTGATTTGCATATCAGAACATTTTTGACCTACAATTGCACTTTCGGAACAAGGCTAAAAAATGGAAACAAATACGATTTAATCAGAACAGTTGGTAGTTATGCACAAGCCACTAGTTGGTTAAATAAGTTCTTTCATTATTTATTAGTAAAGCCATAATAATTATATTACTCTTCCATGTCTTAATGGTATTGAGTCAATACAAATATTTAGTAAGTCTATTTTGTAAGTTTTACGTATTGCAGTAAAGGTAAAATTAGACAAAGCATCAAAAATAAATATTTACCAGCAACATTTCCTTGTCTTCTGTCTCGGCTCCAATAATTTTCATGAGATTCTCTTTCAAATCCTACAGATTGGTCTGGAATGCAATTATCACTCTCATAACTATCTGAAGCTGAACCTTGACTGGTGGAACGTTGTCGTGACATTCCTTTCACATTAGGAGACATACCTGTGTTTAAATATATAAATTCAATTTAGTTTGAATTCAGGATTAAAACAATTTTAATATATTAGGAAGCTAAAATTTAAAAAAGCTATCATAAAGACTCCTAAAAATTATATAAGTGATCACCATATCGCTCCTAATAAAAAGAAGATTTTTAGAGCTTATTGACAAAAATTTTAAATCCTCTATAACCTGAATATTTTGATCTGAATTAAATTATTTTGATAAAATACATCTGGTCTTAATAATTCTAGATAATAGAATTCACATTGAAAGTAAATTATTAATATAAACTGCCAATTTGCTAAGCCTGGTAGCAGAAATTACATTGTGAATCTGCAGTCCCAATTTCATAAACTTAAATTTATATTAGACTTCAAGTCAGCCAGAGATTATTTTTGTCAGAAATCAGATTATATCAACAGATATATGTATATTGTAAATATAAGATATTTCAATATTGTATCTAAACACTTTGTCTTAAATGACCAAGTGACTTTTTTTAAAAAATACTTTTTGTCCTATCAGGATGGGCTTTCCAGGTGGATTTACACATAACTCCAGGATTATTATTATTACTTTTTTTTTAAAGTAAAATTACGATTGAAAACAGAAGAGACAATTCAGGCACTTTCCTTAGGGTGTCAAACTCCCTGACAATTCTTTTACCTTTTTTTAAAAATCTTTATCCTGACGCTCATGAACCATGTCCTATGCAGCGTACTGTCAATTCAGTGTTATAATTCAGATGGGTTTTAATAGGAAGGGTAAAAGGTACAAAATAAAGAGGAGAGACACAAGGAGAAGGCACAGTTGTACGTGTATATAGTAAACATAAAAAGAAATTGAAAGAAAAAATATTAATAAAAGAAATAAACTGGCAGAATTTGTCTTTTGTAATAAAATGTTTATTTCAAAAGACAAAATTACACTTCAAATGTAAAGAGAATCTGCAGTGTTCACTGCCGTGCTGGAGGGTTTCTGTTACTGAGGTATTAAGTACAGTGCAACCTCGAAAATCCGGACTGCTGGGGGGTTTGGAAGGTCCGGATTTCCGAAATTTCCGGATTTTAGATACCTTACTTGAATTGATAGAATTATCGAAGTTTCGATTTCGCCAGGCCGATTTCGCGATTGATCATGCGTGTGTAGACCTCCGACGCCAATTTTAACATAAATATACTCTTTAAATAATAAATAAAAAACATTAAAAATTAAACTTTCGTCATTTTCCCCCGCAATGGATCGTTTAGATAACATAATATTAGCAATTAAAACTAAAAATATAGGCTTAAAACGCGAGCTGAATTTTAAGTTATAACCGAAACAGATGTTTCTAGACTAGACTGTACCAGCTGATACTAATCCTTTATTTGTTGGGGGACGAAAGAACTTGTGCCCGCTTCCTAAGCTTCAAGGTTAAGAAAGAACCAGTTTTCTTTCATCACAAGGGGAATAAACAAGGAGATGGAAGAATTCCTCCTTCTGAGGGGATTCCCCTTCAAGAGGAGGGGAGGGGGATTCCCCTTTGTATTCTTTGTTATCCATACAGAGCTGATAAGAATGACTGGAATTTCCTTATCAGCTATGAGCTTTCATTCATTCTCCACTTCTACCTCTTCATTTACTGCTTCATTGTTGCAAAAGAGTTGTGGGATTCCCCTTCAGGAGGAGGGGATTTCCCCTTATATTCCTTGTTATCCATACAGAGCTGATAAGAATGACTGGAATTTCCTTATCAGCTATGAGCTGTCATACACACCCCACCTCTACCTCTTCATCTACTACTTCATTGTTGGAGAAGAGTTGTGGTTTTGCATTAAAATGTTTATTTTATGCGATTTTTTTAAAAATTTTTCTTTTGAAATTTTTTTCTGAGGAACTGGACGTATGAGTCCGGATTTTAGAGATTTCCGGATTTTAGAAGTCCGGATTTTCGAGGTCGTACTGTATTAAAATAACTTGTTGGGTTGTGAAGAAATGTCTTGATTTAAATTAAATATTATAAAAAAAACTACATTGTTGGAATTAAAATAAGATTTACTTTGCATTTGATTGACATAAGGAGTATGAGATGTCCATCCAGTTTCGTATCCAACAGGTAAAGAAAGAGGCTGCTGTGATTGGGCACCATGGCTTGCACTATTTCCTGAAGGAACAGGTCCAGAACCAGGACTAGTTTGCCCGACTGACTGTGATCGCATGAAATGACCAGAGCCACTTTGAGTTGAGGGCATACTTCCAGGTTGTTGGGTTTGCTGTTGCCGCATATATTCTGCAGCCTGTTTTTGAAAACGTGGAGGAACATTCTTTTGAAATTGTCTTGAAAAGTTATAGCCCTAAAACAAAACAAGAGATATTAAAGTTACTTATTAGTATTATTACTTATTAGTAGACTTTAACAACTGCAACAATTTTATAATCAATACTACTACCGAATTGCTAATATTAGATCTAAGAAGCATATTTGGAGGGGAATTTTTTTTTATACTAAGAAAAATTTTGACATTAATTATATAATGGTTGTAGAAACTTAAACAAATGAGTAAGACATACTTACACCTACTTTAGAGCTTTTTAAGATTACAGAAGCTGAGGTCAACAAACGTATTCTAAGTTTTATTATGCATTAAATATATAATAAGCAGTGTGAGAAATGAATGGGTTAATAACTAAAGGCACTTAGAGGATATTATGGTCAATAATAAATTTAGCTTATAAAAATCTTAGTTGTATAGTAGGTACCTGATAATTTGGTTGAGAACGATCTCTGTCACGTCCATCGCGGCTAGGTGGTTTGTCATCTCGACTCTCACTACTATGCCTAGACCTATCAGTTTCATCAATGTCTATATCTTTCTCTTTATCACACTTCTCAAATGTCTTTGCTTTTTCTTGTGCACACTGTTTACTTTGCTCATAATGTTTCTCTTCTTCAGCCCTCCTTTGCCTTGCCCTCTCAACAGTCATTGTCATTTCTTCAGTATGCTGTTTTCTTCGTTGGCGCCACATTTCATCATCATCAGCTACTGATGAACGTGGTCCACCAGGCCTTGCAGGGCGAGGAGGTGGGTAGCTACCATGCTAAAAATAAAGCTTCAAGTAAGTATAAAAAAAAATCATATTTATTAATAGCTTTTGTGCCACATAATGAAATGATTTTATATCTGAAACATTCAAATTTCTTCTTTCTTTTAGGATTTTGGAGAGCTATATTTTGACTCATTTAAAAATTAGTAAAATTTCATTAGTGACAATAATTTAGTTTTGACATACATGACTCATTACTCATTAACATAACTGCCTACAGGGAAATGAAAGACAGTACAAAATAATGTAAATTTCATAACTATAATAAGAAATATTTTAGACACAGGTAATTTTAGAGATTATTGCAGTCAAAATAAAAAAACTATATTACACTACAAGCAATAAAATGACTGCAATAATCTCTATTCGGGACTGATATCAAATGAACTAGAATGCAAAATATATTTATTCTGTCAATAGTTTTGAACAACAAGAGATATTTAAAACATTTTAGATAATAAAAAAAAAACTTCACATAGATAACTGCAAATGAGGCTAACTTCATTATTTAGCAGTAATACTTATTTAAATACTAAAACACGAAGAAAGCAAGCAAATAGTTGATGAAATCTAATTAGTTTTACAGAAAATCTCCTAATTATCAGAAATTTTCTAGAGTGCGCAAAAACCAAGAGAATTTAGATTAAACCAGTAAACCAGAAAAAAAGGTAAACTCCACTAGTCTTCTTGAAAACAGTAGTGCGTTAGATATTGTGATGTTTTAAATTATGGAATTTAAAACCCATACCATAATAAATTCAGGTTACACTAGAGAAAAATATCTAGTAGAAATACCACATAATTTTGATCTTAACCAGACAGTGTGGTTAATGCCAGAGAAAAAAAATATATATATGACTTTCATCAGACTTAGGCTAAACTATGATCCTTATACTGAGACATAATTATTTCAATATTTTATTTAATCCAAAACAAAAATGAACTAATACTTTACTTTAAATAATCTGTCTGTATAGATTTAGTTTAGGTGCAATGAAATTTTTTTATTGGCATAAAGCAACTTTATTTAATAGGTAGGTTATAGACAAAAGAATAAATACATTACAACTCTACTTTGTGAACCATATAAAGTATCAACATCTGTTTCTAAAATAATTATAAGGACTATGTCCTTACTTGAATATGAGGTACTGGACCAGCTGCCATTCTTGCATGGGGAGAGGCATATGCCGAGCCAGGAGGCTGTGGTGGCGGGCCCCTGTAGTCAAACGGTCGTTGGGGTGGTTGATTAGGTTGCCACTGGCGTTGCATTTCCATATTACTCATGGAAGATGACCTACCTTGAGAAGGTTGGTTCCAAGACTTCCACCTTTCATCCTATTTAAAATGGGTTGGGGACACTTATAAACCCAAGAAACAATAGGGGTTTTTATAAACTCAAATTATAACAATGTTTATGAAAAAATATACTAATTCCTTCCTACGACTGAACCAATGTCTATTAAGTTTTTAATGATAGTAATTATAAATTCAGCAGTGACAATAATATAAACTTGAAATCCATATAAATTAGTTTTTTTTATTGTTTTTTTCTTAAATAAATAATTATAACATTTCTATACCACTGCTTTTATTTTAATTTTTTTAACCTTGAGTAATTCTCTTCAAATAGGCTAAAATTATGTAAATAAGGGATATTTAAATTTTTTAAAAAGAGTTATTTGATTAGTTTGAAGATATCTTCATCACATTGTCTCGTAAGTTTAAAGTATGTCTTAAAATAAATATTTTTGACCCACGAAACCCTTAAATGTGTGAAATCTCATTACTTCGCTTAATTACCACCTGACAATACACAAAACATTTCTTACAATGCCTTTCTTGTTTATTTCTTATCTTTTAAAATTAACAATTGCAGCGTTGTTGTATGCATTAAGTTATTTTGGCTTTTTCGGCCTTCCAATAGCGACATTGTGTCAATTCTATTTAGAATGCTTCAGATTGAGGGCATTATTATTTGAGTAGAAATAGTGTTAAGTTCTAACAACATATTCTGATAAAACTGCAAGGCAAATTACAGTAATATGGGAGTATAACTCAATGGATGAACAATTGGATGAGCGCTAAGGCGGCAGCCATTCCCTTTTTCAAAATAATAAAGGTCATTTAATTTCAAAAATATTTTTAATAAGCATTTTAAATAGTCTTTGACAGCATAGTTACAGAACACACTTTATTTATGGAAATAAATTCAAGAAGTAAATTTCATTGAAAGGATGGTACTTTTGTAATTCATGAAGCTAATTTATATTCTAAAAATGTACTAATAATTGCTATAGCATCCCCTTAATGCAGTGTTTCCCAAAGTGTGGTACGCGTACCCCCAGGGGTACGGGAACAGTTTAACGGGGGTACGTGTTCTTATGCGAAATATCTTGCAAAAACTATAATTTCATAAAATTTTATTTAAAAACAAAGCTAGCCATGAAAATTTACGATTACCTATTTTACTATTGACTATTTTTTGAAGAGTTAACAGTTAAAAATTAGTGGTGTCAACAGCCAGAAGTGATTTTTTACTTTGGTGCAGTTTTTTTACAGTGAAAAATACATTCATTTTTTTATTAGTGGTACACAGAGCTTTATGAAAAATTTAAAAAGGGTACACAAAAATCATAAGTTTGGGAAACACTGCCTTAATGGACAGTTCAAAAATATAGATTGTTATTTTAATTTTATTTGTTATTATAACTTTATTTGTGGGTATATACTTAAGAAACAATGTTATTTTCTCATTTTTTTCACTATTATCCCTTTACAGTAAAAAAAAAAAGAGACATTTATAAAACATTGATTCTATTTTTTTTTAAAGACAAGTTAAAAAAAATACTTTCATTTAACTTTATTTTTTAAAGCAGTTAAGGGTTGACAGGTACTTAATCAGCCTATTTGTAAAGAATGACTCCATTAAGGTACTAAACTGAGTTCAGGTTACGACTTGGTTGCCTATTCAAATAGCAAAACAGTTTTCAATATAGTACTCATAAGAAAAACAGAGGAAAAGGGATATTCACACTTATTTGCTTAAATACTTCAACAGCTGAAGTATTAGAAAAATTCCATTAAAAGTATTTAAACATTCACTTAAATGCGATGAGGCTAAATTTAAATACCATTTGGGTATGTAGAAAATTTTTCAATACTCAATAAATTTTGAAACCAAGTAAAAGGGTAAAAAAAAAAAATCAGCTCAAGCATGCAACAATAAAGTATCCTATATAGTTTTGAAAAAATTCCACATAAACCTAGGCTAAATAAAGTATGCTAAGAATAAATGATATAACTCACCCTTTCTTTCTCAAAACCATCACCACGCTCGAAATTCCAATCAGCATCTTGTTCACTTTTTTTATCTCCTCTGTTTTCTCTACTCCAATCAGATTCACGCAATTGTCTACCTTCCCTGTCACGTTCAGATTTTTTCTCTCTATCTTTTTCATTTTTGACACTACTATGACTTTTCAATGGCTTATCATCACCATCCCTGCAGAAGAATAGAATAATTGAAATGTATAAGTCACTAACGGAGATAGATAAAATATTCATAAGTAAAATATTCTCATAATGAATACCTTTTTTCCTTTTTTTGATTAACAGGGGTATCTTCATCATCACTAAAGACTAATTTTGCACTAAAATAAAAATGTATAAAATTTATTTAAAAAAAAATGGTTAGCATAAACATATATATTATCAGACATGTGATTGAATTCAGAAATTGTCAAAGCCAATTTGTGAGCATACTATGAGACATTAATACACAAAAAGATACTCATAAATTTTTTAATCTTTGAAATTACGGAGATGACCCTTAAAGATAGCAAAATTTCATTAACATGTAGATTAATTAAAACGCTTAACATCTTCAATAAAAATTTAAGCTTTATTTTTAAAAAAAATATTTTTAACAGGTATACTGTTGAAATGGTGTACAAGTGTTTTATTATATTATTAATTCAGGTCCGTTTTTTAATTAATATTATTTAAAAGAAATTAGGTCAATAAAATCCATTTCAGTACAATAAAAACTTACTTATAATCTATTTCACCATGAGATGTTGCCCATGTATCTTGTGTGTCATTTTGAAGTATTTCATCAAATCCCTTCAGAGCTTTTTCAGTGATAATTGCAGCAGGGCGTTGATATGCCTCTTCTTCGGCAAGAGGGCGTACTTGTTGAGGTCGTCTGTTATCTGAGTAAGGGTAGGGTGGACGAGAGTTTTGTTGTGCAGCAGGTGGTACATTAGTAAAATTTGAAGGGTATCCAGAAGGATAAGAATTACGTCCTAACATCTAAAATATATATAACCCATGTTTATTATACAGAATGAAATAATTTATCATAAATGTAATTTGAATGCAATGATAGATTAAGAAATAAATAAAACTTAAAAAAATTGAATCAATTTTCGAATGCTTATGGTCTCGCTTAATTCTTTAACAATGCATAAGAAAATTAAAATACATACAAGGAAATAAAATGATGTAATGACAATAAATGTAGCTATACACAACTCCAGAGCTTGAATAGCTCACTTAGTGCAGAGTACAGTAAGCTTCCTAAAAGAGGCTTTGTCCATCTATCTTTCTCCAACACAATGCAAAAAATAGATAGCTCTAAAAATAGACAGCTCTTGTAGACCATTTTAGTCACAGGTTGCTGCATTGTTTACTTGCGTTGGATACATCAATTAATACTCAAGTAAATATTTTAAATGTTTCAATTCAACTCATAAATCACTCAAGTCTTAAGCAGAAAATTATAAAGTCTGATTAAATACTATAAATGTATTCAATCAGGCTTTTTTCAATGAATTATACAAAATTAACATTATTCAGCAACATTTTTATACTACTTCCACTTACATAAAATTATCGAAAACGACTTTAAATTAAGGAAAATAATTTAAACTTCAAATTGCTAAGATATAAACTAAATTTAAAGACTTACAAAAGTGGGCATCATTCCTCTAAACTGTGGAGGCATGCCCATTTGACTTCCCATGGCATGTCCTGGAGACGGAACAGGCCCAATAGGTGGTCCACCAGAGGTAGAGCCAGAAGGAACATTTCCTATGTTGCCACCCGCAATAGGGGCACCTCTAGGAGCAGGATATTGACGATCTCGTATGTGAGACTGTGAAGACAAAGGCTGGGAATCTGAAGGTTGCTGGGGGCCGTTCACGCCACTGCCACTGCTCTGTTGCTGGTTTCCGACCGAACCAGCTGGTGGCTGTTGCAGTGTGCCTCTTCCCCAGCTGCCTTCCGCTAAGGAGAGGAAAAAAAGATTATATTCTTTCCAAAATTTAAGGAAATAACACACAAGTGTAACTACATTTTATGAAATTCTATAATTCACGATAAAGCATCTAAGAGCATACTTTGAGGTCTCAGACTTGGTCCTGGTCCATATTGGGAATCTACACTTGATTTCTGATTGCCTTCTGTTGGTGCATCTCCACCAGCTAACTTGGGGAATTCCTGAGGAAAAAATGGCGACTGCTGGCCCAAGAAGTTCCGTTCTTGACCACCATCCTCTTGGCTTTGTGTTATACTGCTCCATGTTTTGTTTACTCCAGAAGTTGCAACTGTGTTTGTTGTACTTGTCTGATAAAAAGATAGATTAGTCTTAATCATAAAATAAATAAGCCAATAATATAATAAATATGTTATGATACATATTATTGATGTAGAATAAATAAATTTAATCATTAATTTTTAAGCAAAAATATGGATAATCTGCTTTGTTAAATGCCTCAAATTAAATTTGAAGATAATTTTGTACATATGAATAATAATTACATCACATTTTATGATCAATGGAAGTTTAAAAATAAATAAAAAGTAACATTTATTTAAAACTTAACTAAAAACAATCAAAGGTTTATCATGTCTTGATAGTTGTATCTAATATTAAATTTGTTTATGAAAAATATTTCAAATAATTTACATTGAACTGCTATGCAGTATAAAATATTGCTACATACTAAAGCTTTGATGTTGTTTTTTTTCTTAAAAAAAGGTATATATCAAGAATTTGAAAGGAGAAAAAGTATTACAATACTATTCAGGCATTTTTATCATTGCCATATTAACTTGATTTGATTTGGATGGGTAAAAATTGGAAATTGTTTGATTCTGTATAAAGAAAGCAAAATATTTATTTTTTGTGGGTATGGAATTGTATCTCATCTGCATGATGCATGTCTTCACCCTGTCCTAACTAAAGGAACAGATTGTAACAATTCTGTTTTCATTTAATTTCAGTATGTTTCATCTACCAATAAATAGGACTACTTAACAGTTATAATTGTGCAGATGGAAAAAGAAGCAAAAAAGTAATATTTTTTTAAAAAAATATTTTCCTAATGTTTTGATTAAGTTCCTAAAATATATTTTAAACAGGGAATTTATTTTATTTTAGAACAAATCTTTTTTCTGCTTGGTGATTCAGAATGCTTAAAATTTTATTTAATCATTTGCATAGTGCTTAGCATGCCAAAGCTTGTTATTGTGGTACACTTGTTGTACCAACAGTACACAAAAGAACACGGGTTTTCTAGTTATTCATTTCAGTATTAATTCATTTCAATAAGCTGAAAAGAGAAAGTTAAGTAGCTTTCATTTTTCAGCCCTATATCTGATCTTTAATCATGTTTAAATGAATCAATGATAATCATTTAAATATATATTGAACTTAATTTAAAATACTAACTTTCTGTGTTGTTTGTGATAGCGAAGAGGCTGGCTGCGATTGCGGTGATGGCTGCTGACTTCCATTGGTCTCTTCTGGTTTGCCTTTCTCTTTGGTGGTACTGCCCCATCCTTGACCGCCACTTGGAACAAGGCTTATATTTGGATTATTTCCACTATTTTCACTTTTTAAACTTGGTAAATTAGCAGGAGGTGGCATACGCCGTCCAGTTCCCACTTTCCCCAGTGATTGCAATCCATGTTTAGGTTGAACTAGAAAAATAAAATAGTTGTTAATTGTAGCAACTTATAGAGAAACATTAAAAGCATTTTCGTAACATAAAGAACCTTCAAAAGTTTAAACATACCATGAATTGTGATTACAAATAAGATAAAAAATAATATGTACGTACACATTTTAAAATTCCAGATAAATGTTATCGGAAATTAAATTCGGTTACTGATAACAAAAGGTATATCCCCTCCCTTAAGAAATATTACAAAAGCTGATAGCAAACTTTCTGCATACCTACCTTGCTATTAGAAAGATGAATATATCTGAATAATATAGCTTTTTAAACAGTTAACATATAAACTGGACTTTTTACCCAAGAAAAAAGTAAATAGCGGTGGATTGCAAAAGAGAAATAATAGTGACACATAGTTCTTATTAAAGTTCTTTAAGGTTAATTATAAAAATGAGCCAATTAAAATTTCATTTAGTACAGTTCAGATAAGTTTTTTTTAAAAGAAAAAAATTACCAATAGAGATATTTAGGGTGTAGTGCAGGGGTGGCAAACCATTATACACCAACGTGCCGTCAAATAATTTTGACTTCGTGATTATTGGGAAAATAATAATTCTAAATACTATCAACTCAAAACTCTTTATTTACATTGAAAAAAAAAAAACATTCTGCAATGTCTCAGTTATACGCGTAATTCAACTTAAAGTAGCATCAGTGTCACTTCTCTTGTTGCAGATTAGATGACAAATAATTTATATTAGATTGTAAGATGTTAGTTTAAGCAGGATTGATAATTTTTTTGCAAGTTATTTATTGTTAGCTTGTTTTTTATGGTTATTAATTGTGTTTTTAACATTAATTGTTAATTTTTTATTAATAATTGTTTATTATTTTGTGTGTTTTTTAAGAATTTTAATTTAATTGTTACATATGCTTCATAGTGTAATACCATTTGTGTAATAAGAAATGTGATCGGTGGCGTGCCCGAAATATTGTGTCGGGTGCCATAAATGGCACGCGTGCCATTGGTTCGCCATCCCTGGTGTAGTGCAATTTAAAGATTTCACTCATACAGAACTCACTATGCAATTATAAAATGGTTTCTAAAAAGAAATTTAAGCTATTTATTTACATTTTAATTTTGAGGAGACTTTCTTTATCATTACATATAATAAAAATTGATTAAAATTATAAAAACTTGCAGATGGTACAATACAGTGCAATTCCAAAATTACTCAGTCAAAATTCTTTTCACTCCTGACACAATATACTCTTGATGCTCTTTCATTGATAAAATACCACTTGTCTCGTTAATGATCTAAGTTTTGCACTGCTTTAAGACTCTTAATGAAATGTACTCTATCCTTATTTGCCACTTTCAGCCATAGTCATTCCAGTTGCTACACTGGTCTTTCTTTTTCAACTTTTTGTACTCCATTGTGCTTTTATTATATCTAACCAGATTTGTTTTCTTCATTCACACATTGTCCTTTTGAAGGAAAAAAAAAGGTTGCATCTGTACATTTGAAACAAACTTTTTTTTTCAACTACAAAACTAACGAAATTTTTTATTGACAAGCATATCTTATTTCCAGTCATCCTTGGGATTAAACTAGATTAACTTTTCTACCGCACATTTATGGCAACCTATCCTCACATTTATGGCAATCTATTATCCTACAGTTAGTTATTTTCAAGTACAAAAAGCAAATTATTCCATAGATAAACATTTGTATTGGAAATGAAGATAAGATAGTCTTGGACATATATGTAAAGCTACGAAAAAAACTTATTAAAAGTTAAAAAAACTATAAATGTAAAACTTACCGGTAGCTTTAGGATTTTCCAAACTTTTTCCTTTATAGATACTATTTATATCCAAAGCAACATACTTCGACCTTCCTTTCTCCGCCTTCGCATTTAGCCCCGAAACTGCAGACATGCTGATCAGAAGAAGTCATTGAGTACAGAGCACTGCACCCAGGGAACGGTCCGCTCCCTAAAGAATACAAAAAATTTACTTTTAAACATGCATTACATGATAAATTACAAAATACTGATTCCAATCTAATAAAAAATCAACGACATTCAAGTGCAATTTACAATCTTATAGCTGCAAACAAAAGGCCAATCTTTAAAACTTAAAAGAAATTATGAAAATAATTGATAGAGCTATATTAATCCCAGGTGTCAATAAAACTGTAACTAGCATCTATTATTTTAGTATAATTTAACTCAAAAACAAATAACTGCGACAATCCACGCAATTTTGTTGAACCCTGTCTTCAGTTAATTCAGTTTAATTAAAAAAATTTAAATCTTAAGAATATATCTGTTAGTCTGTATGTAAAATTATGCATCGGTATTAATGTCAAAGATTGAACGCAGCAAGATACTCAACCCTCTTAACTTAATCCGATCAGAGTCACGGGTTCTTTACCTCCAATACCTATAAAATACACATAGCTCACAAGTTCCTCGTGTACCAAGCCAACGCAGTAAATCAAATGTTGCACAGTAGCTTCTGTTTTACTACACTTGGTGTGAACTGGAAATATCTTAGCACCATGGGTGAATCTAAAAGATTTTTTAAAGTACAGTTGACAGTAAAATTAAAGTAGCTGTAAATCATTAGGCAGAAAATGACAAATTATCATAATTGTTTCCCTTCTTAGTCCTTTTTAGAACATATTTTTTTGGAAAATCTTACTCTTACGTGTAGTGTATAAGTATGCACATAGAATACATTAAAGAAAATTTCTTTTGGGGCAAAAGTGGGTCTTTTTGTAAAGTACACCATTAATTCCGGGGCAAAATAAGGTTTTTTGTGAAAAACCATACATGGGCTTTATTCTTCCTTAAGAAAAAAAAGTTTAAGTTTGTATCCAGAACTTCAGAATATTTGGTTCCCTTTTACTACATGCAGATCCTTAAAAATATGAATTCACTACATTGTTATGAATCTATTACTATGCTCATTGATAATTACTCTATTCAATGTTAGACAAAATAAAGAATTTCAAAAAAAAAAAAATGGTTAATATTTGATGTGGTATCAGTAGGATTCCTGTTCATCCTTCAATCTGATCTCTTTACATTTAAATTTCATTTCTTAATCTGTTATCCATCTTCTGATTTTTAAAATTTATACTTATCATACAATTCATAAGTTAATGCTATTTCTAAAACGTACAAAACAATCACAAAATTTAATTTTATACTATGTTCTATAATTTCAATGTATTACAACTGCAATTTTGAATCCCACAACCCAGGTAAAGGAAAGATCCCATTGCTTAAGAATATAAATAAAAACCTAATATGTATTTACTAGTAAAAATTACCCAACTTGGTAAAAAAAAAATCCCAATTGACCTCAAATAAAACACATTTAGCTATGGAGAACTGTAAATTTGAATAATATAAAATTCATCAAACAAACATATCCATTAGATCAAACTAATGAAAATTTTAAAGAAAAGTTACATCACAGTTGAATAGCTTTTAGTGCACAAATTGAAACAAACTAGATAAATTACAAAATTAAAAATGTGTCAATAGATTCACCATTCAAGTGTTAGCCAACATATTTTCTATAATTTTTGACAGGTAAAACATAAATAATCGCAACCTTAAATTTACAATTAAACACTTAAGATTGATATTAAAGAGTACAATTTAAATTTGTCACATACAGGACAAAAACTGTTAAAAAATAGCTAGATCTCCACTCATCAAGAGCTATTATTTTGGCGAAATATTTTGTTATTAAATGTAATAAATAGTTTATTGTTGTTTAATCGAGCAGTGTATAATTATACATTTGAGAACACGGAACGATATTAATGGCTTCAGCAAACGTAAACTATGATGATCGAAACTATAACTGTCAAGCTAATAAAAGACAGAGAAAGTAATAAGCCTAAACAACATCTATTAAGTACTCAAATATTTAAATCATCTACATATATTTTAACAAATGCAATATAAAATTGAAAATACATGTTAAGAACCTTGATCATATTAATATTAATTATTAACATTTACAAATCCAGGTATTAATACAATAGTAAACAGAGCCGCTAATTGCGTAGTAGGAGGGTCAACAAATGTTATTTTATTGTAATAGAAAGACTTTTACTAGACATAAAGAGAAAATATCAAATATTTAAAGCACTATAAGAATAATATATCATGATATTTACTTTTATTTCACTGAAATATCGAAATTTTACGTAGTATAAACCAAATGTTTACTATGATCGGTTTAAGCTATTATAAACATAACAATAATTCATAGGGCATTAAAATAGCATCTTACCTCGGTCCGTCCAAATGGGTTTCTTTAAATAATAATAACGGTAAAGCTTAGATTTAGGTGCAAGGGATGGATGGCGGCAGATTGTGACAATTAGTTCAAATAGGTCCAATTTTTAAGGGACCTTTCCAATTCCAAAATGGCGAACAACAACTCTCTTTTCTCCCGTAAGCGTTTAATAACCTGAAGATGACGTCACAGGAAGCACCCTTCCCAGAAGTCTAAAATAATTTAGTCTGCTCTCGCTGAAAAAAATTCAATCTTGGTTGAATTTCAAAGATGCTGAAAGAAAAAAAAAGTTATTTTACTAATGAATGACAATTATTCTAATAAGTATAATAGGAATTTCAATTAAAATAAAAAATATCTCATTAGTTGCTTCGAATCTTACAGTTTGCAAGTTATTAGATAAAAAGAGTAAAACGGAACTAAAGGTCGTAAAAACCTTATTTAATTGTTCAGAATCCAATTAAAAAATAGCTCATTAAAAATTTCTAAATGTTAAAATTTTTATAAACAAACGAAATAGCATGTGAGGTGAGGTTTAGTGCTCTGAGTTTAGAAGCAACATGTGTAATTTTAAATATGAAGTTCAAAAGGTGTTAAATTATTTTTAAAAAAAGTACTTACTTTTTAGGCTTTTAAAATTCGTATTTTTAATAAGATAATTTTTCTAAAACGTTTTAATAAAAAAATAAGAATTAAATTAATCTCGAACCGTCATTGATAGTTCAACAATTCACAATTATTTTCCACTGGACTAGGTGTATACAGTTTTTTCAGTTTTAATTTTTTCTCTAATAACTGCAATAAAATAGTCTTGAATTTCAGAAACGAATTAAACTTTTTAATCCATATCCGTCTTTATGTTTAAATGATTTTTATTCATTTGATTTTTATTAAAATTTAATGCCATTCCTCTCTTCTCTCTAGTAGATTATGTCAATTTGTTGATTGTTTGTTTGGTTTCGGTTTGTTAAATTTTTTGCTGCAAGCATAAAATAATCATGTTGAACGACAGTTTTGTAATTTTGTGCATTTCAATTTTTACTGCTTTATTGGGTGAAGGTTTGTTGAAAGTTTTTTCTAAAAATAATTTTTTGATGTATTAAGATATATACGATTTATGTTTAGCTTTAAAAAACGAAGAGTAAAGCTTATTTTTCTTGATTAGTAAAATGTTTCTCTTGCTTAAGTTTTTGTTTGTCATATTAATATCAAAAGATATTTATGCTGAGATATGTGGGTCAAAGTGTATCTAATTTAATTTAGTAGTGGCTAACTTTTACCTATTTCTCTGAAATAAGGAAAATAAATTCGATTTACCAATTTGTGCATTACTAAACTTTTGGAAGAAAATTTTTAAAGTTTCCTAAGTTAATTGATAAGTTATATTCTTTTATTTTTCTTATTTTTAAATTGATAAGAATTTTTCCCTTTTTTATAAACCTGTCCTCTAAATCAGCGGTTCTTAACCTATGGGTCGCGACCCAAAATTGGGTCGCGAAGCATATTTCTTGGGTCATGCTGAGTCGAACCAAATAATAGGTAATACCAACACCTCCTAGAAGAAGTCATTGTGGCTTACTCAGCCTAGACTTAATGAGGTACCTGCGTAACTCTATACCCTTAATCTTCGTTCATAATAATTAAAAAAGGCACATGACTCAAAATTAGTTTAGCATATCAATGTGCAAAATTAATATAAGAATAAAAGATACTTAGTAGTTAATGTTTAAAATAAAAAATAAAATGAAAAAGTGAAAAAGAATTAACATAAGGGCCCTCTCTTTCAAAATGTATTCAAGCACAAAGTTCTCATTAAAAACTGTATGAATTGCATTTAAAATTTAAAAGACTTAAGATACGTATTGATATTTCTTTTTTTTTTTAGGAATAAGTTAAAATGTCAATTATTTTCAAAAAGTTATAAATATATTTTAATTTGGTCAATAAAAATTATTAAAAACACTTGATTATTAATTAAATTTTCGCTGGATCGAAAAGTACTTTTGCTTATCTTTATTATTAAAAAAATAAATAAAAAATTTGTAAGTTAAAAAAAAAATCATCATCGTAGGATTGAAGATTTTTTAAAAATACGATCTAAAATAAAGCAATGAAAAAATGTTGACTTTTTTTTGGGTCGCGACATGAGCATATTTCTCAAATTTGGGTCGCGGCTTGAAAAGGTTAAGAACCACTGCTCTAAATTATTAGTTTTTTATCACTAGTATGTATTTATTACTAAATGCTACAACTGGTAAGGAGGATTAATTTGCAAATCTGGGGCAATTTCTTTATCAGTATCTATGCCAAAATAAACGTCAAGTTTTGGCTATTAAAATCATTCCCTAAGGAGACAAACTCAAAATGTATTAATTGTTGCCATAACCATGGCAAATCTCACCTTAGTTTTTTTTTATTTTTAATTTCTTTGGTGCCTTGGCAATTGTTGGTACAAGGAGATTCCAATATGCAAATTCTGATAATGAGGAAGGTTTCCATTCTGGTACCTGATTGCACAAACTAAAATCGCCTAAGCTTTTGTCTAAAAAGTAGAAGCCGATGTGTAATGGTTTGTCTAAGGGTAATTACTTGTTATACCCTTCTAGTTTGTTGCCTTCTGTCATGAGTTTAGATTTTCATCTACCTCTACCTGGTGTCAATCAGGATTAAAGTAGCCTTAAAGAATATTGAACTACATTTAATAATGAGGAAATGTAACTCGATTTAATTAAATATTAAACAAATGAAGGTAAAATTAAGTTATTAATATAAATCAATTGTATTTTAAAAAACTTATGTGTCACCTTTACTCTTTTTTTAAATAATTACGATCACATCATCAAAAGCAATTTGCGAGAAATTTCTTTTATATACAATGAATAGAAGATTTAATTTATCTACAACCATATCTAATCAGAATAAGAAAAAGCTTTTTATGAGGCATCTGAAATCACGTGAATATGAATCGAAATGTTTGACTTTTAAACATTTTGTAAATATGAAGCCTGGTGATTGATTTTTAAATCCCGTGCATATGAATTCAATTTTAAAATCATGTGAATGCAAATCATGCTGCTTTATTTTAAAATCCCCTGAATATGAATCATGATATTGACTTTTAGAGACATTTGAATATGAATTTCAATATTGAGTTTTAAATACACGTGTATGTAAATCACAATTTTTGATTTTTAAATTGCTTGAATTCAAATTGTGATATGTAATTTTTAAATAGGAATAATACAAATTTAACGTGCAACTTTTAAATCATGTTAATTAATGTTTCATATTAAAATAGCGAATGTGAATCGTGATATTGGATTTTAAATACAAATCGCAATATTAGTTTTTCAATTGTATAAATACGAATCATGATAACTTGGTATTTGATATATCAAATCTGGGGACTTGTAGGATATTTTATGAATTTTTCAGGTGTAGACACGCATTTCTTTATCAAGCGTGTCAATAATATCTAACATTTGATCTACGAACTGTAAAGGAAATTTGGTTTTGATTACTAGTCAATGTTTGTTTAGAGTTATGAGTGGCTTGATCAAACACGTTCAGAGTCTTACGATAATACAATTTTATTAAACTGTCAGTAATGTGTTTCATATCATGGGTATCAGGTTGTCTAGGAAATAAAAAGAGCAGAAGAGTAATTCTAACCATAATAAACCATTAAAATTATTCAAAGGAATATTGTTTATGTTATATAATGTTTCGATTTCCAGTTTAAGTATATTTTTTTCTATTTTTTAAGGCTTAACATGGCTTATGGTGTATAGGACAGAAAAGTATCAAAAGCTTAAAGCAGAAGTAGAAAGACAAAGTAAACGATGTAAGTAATCAAAAATTTAATATTATTTTAATCAAACATTTTGTTTAAGTTTTAAGATCTTGTAAGCATTAGGTTAGAGATTGGGGGAACATCCTCAGCTTTTTTTTTCTTTTGCTTCATAAATCTTTATGCATATTTTAATTTTCAATACTACTATTTTTTTTCCTCACTTATTTGCAGTGGAGAAAAAGAAAGAAGTTCATGGAGACACAGTCGATCGGCAACAAAAGAAAAAAATTGGTATGTTTGTGTAGTATTGTACTATTCAAATTATATTTAGTAGAGGTTATAAAAAATTTGGTGTATTACAGTGTTTTTTTCAACTAAAACTAATTTGCACACTTAAGAAAAAAAAGGTTTTAAATAATTTAAACTAATAAAAAAAAGGGTTCATATATCAGGGTGTATAGCATTTTTTAATTTTTTTAATTTTATAAAAGCCCTAAAAGGTTCTTTTTTTATTTGATGTTAAAAACTCTTAATTTTCTCAATATTTCAAAAAATTTTCGATTTGCTTAAAAATCATATTTTCAAGAATATGGCTATTCTCTATGATTAGAGGATCAGAAATCTGAATCTGCCGAAAAAAGGTATATTTATTCAGAGAAAGTACGTTTTTCTATATGATTTCGTATCTTAAAATATCATCTGCACTAATTAATTAACATAATTGAAGTCACTCTACATTAGATCAGTCATATTAGATCAAAAGTTATTCTGGGTGGTACGTTTATTTTTTTGTGCACTGTACAATGATGTGTTTTATTTTTAAGAAGTACAACTTTCTATTAGTACTTTTTCTCTTTCAAATTCTGCTTTTGTAATAAAAATTTTGTTTGCCTTTTATGTTATGTTATTAATTGTAAATTTATTAAGAACTTTTGTTTTTTTCTTCTTTGTACTAGCATCATTAATGAATAAGTATCAAACAGTTTTTTAAAACTCTATTTTCCTTATGTCTGTTTTAGAACGAGAAGAAGAAAAATTGAAAAATAACAATAGAGATCTATCTCTTGTAAGTAAAATTCTATGTTTTTCAACTTTATCTCCTCCTGGCTAAGTAATTTTTAAATAATATATTGTGCTAAATTAAAATAAATATGTCTCATTATTAAAATTAGTTATTCCATTTGTAAAACTTTCGCATATTGATTGTATTTATAGAAATTATGTTTATAATTATTATAATAATAAATGTATATTTATAATATCACATTTTTTTATTTGTACATCATATAGAAAATGTATTGAAAGTTTCTCATTTACAAGTCAGAATACTTCTTTTGATAATAATTACAAACACTAGAACTAGCTATTACTTTGAAATATATTATTATTTGTGAGCTATAATATGAAGAGAAAAAAAAAGGGGGGGATTGGAACTTTGAAAGTAATATACTCACTTATATTGTTAAGAGATTATGTATGCCAGGTTTCATAAATTAGCACAAAAGGAAAATTCATGCAATTATGATGCTCAATTTCTTGTACGATTTTATCCCTTAATAAAATCCCACAGCTCTTATTTACTAGTGGTTACTGTTTAATGCTGAAGCATTGACTGAGTGGTACTGAAGTTATTGAAAATATTTATCGTGCATCCTAGTACTAGGGTATATCAACTATTAGTTAAGTCCTGCATCAAAACTTTATTCAAATTGTGGTTCAATACTTTTTGAACAGATTTCATTTATAAGAAATCAGTCGTTAAATTTCAAAAAGTTTTAAGCTTGTTACGAGAATAGTAAAGAAAAATTGATTGATTTCTAGATAAAACACTGTTTCATTCTCTCATTTCGTTATGTTAATACTATTTTCTTACTTTGCATTTCTGCAATTATTTTTCTGCACTGTTTGACTGTTTCAATTTTCCAAAATAATAAAATATTTTAAACTAAATGCACTAGACCTCCCTCCTCAGAAAAAGATATAGCTTAATTACTGTTAAGTGTTATAAGTCTTTTAAAATTGTAATACTATTCAGAATGAAATATTGTTAATCTTTTAAGCATTTCAAATAATTACTTATAATAATAATTGAAATAATTGGGAAGAGTGAAAATATCTCTTTATTTCTGCAATTCTGAGGGAAATAAAATTTCCATATTGGTTTTTGCAATTCTGAAATAAAGAAATACTACTAAATTCCCTATAAAATTAACTCAAATTTAGCTAATGTTATAAGAAAATATCTATTCAAAATTTTATTAATTATGTGTACATTTTTCAAAGATATATTGCAAATGTAAAAAGTCATATGAAAATCATAAATAAATATGTTTTCTCACTTTATATTTTTAACAAGCTTTTGATGATTCTACAACACAATACTTATAAAACATTGGAAGTAAAGTCGTCACTTTGTTAGAATAGAAAGAAAAATTCAGTTGAATAACTTTTAAATTTATTTTTATTTTTTTAAAAATGAAAAGCTTAAGTATAAAAATGTTTAGTGATTAGTAATTATAGATAAGTTATTTAATACTGTACATTTGTCTGCTTTTTTATCTTCAAAATTCATTTTTATTGTCGTTTAAACTGCACAATAATGTATATTTTCCTCAAATCTAAAACCACCTAAATGCATAATACTAAATTAATATTTTGTAAAATCTGATTACAGATTTGTATTGCAATAGTTTTGCCAAAAATCCTCAAAATTGATCTGGTGATGTCCAGTGACAAATATTCATTTTTTTTTTTAAAAATAAAGAAATAAAATAAAGGACGATTAAAAGTATATTAAATATTTTCCTCCTTCTACACCTCTCTGCAGTTGAGTTTGATTGCGAGTTAAAAAGCTTCTTAAGATAAATCAAAAGCAATAAAGGTTTCATATATTCTCTAAACCTTTGTCATCAATCTTAATCAATACACATTAAATCTCATAGATATAATTACATTTTTTTAATGTGATTAACTTAAGCTCTAAAATTTAAAACTAAACTAAAAACAATATTGATGTATGCGTGTTCTTTTATTATTTTATTTTGTCAGTAAATATTTATTGTATGCTTTATAGGTCAAAATGAAATCTATGTTTGCTATAGGATTTGCATTTACTGCTCTACTCAGTATGTTTAACTCAATGTGAGTAAATGTATTAAATATTTTTTCCTTTGAATGCTTACTAATATTATTGTTTTCTGAACAGTGAACATTTTCTTGAATATTTGAGTTAAATTCCGCTTGATCCAGATATTTGCTTACAAAGGTGACTTTTCTAGAATATTTAGTGGAGTAAGTGATCATATAAATCACACAATTCCTAATGAAGGATGGTTTTGAAGTTCCAGTTTTTATGAATTTTATAGACATATTCGTAAAATGAAGAAGAAAAAATTTACAATAAATGAACACAATATTGTTTACATTTTATTTAAACAATGCTTAATAATAAATGTGAGCGATAGTGTTTAGTGGTATTGTTACTGAGAAATTGTCAAGATGGAATGCTGAAATTGCCAAATTTATCTCTAAGCCCTCAGTGGGGGAACTAGCTAGCACTGCTATGTGCAGTAAAGTGCGTGTTAAATCAGTCATGAGTGAAGGTTATCTTGTTGAAAAATTGTCTTGTGGAATTTTTAAAGAAGGATACCAGTTTGGGCACTGTCCACGTTGTTCGTTAAGAGTCAAATTTACATGGTATTCTTACAATAGTCATTAATACATAAAGCCCTAAAACACTTTGCTTAGTGCTTAAATAGGGTGCATTGGTATGTAGAGCCCTGAAGCCCCAAAAGCTGCTCTTTTATAATTTATGATAGTATTTATCATAAGAATTTTGCATGTTAGATGTCCAGTCTACGAAGCAGAGCATAGGAAAATAGGCCTACGGAGGTTAATTATAATTTTTTTTAGTATCGGCAGGATAAAAATTCCTTTCAAAATCAGTAAATGAAGAATTGATTTTAGATTGTAGTTACATTGTACTGTATAAAATAGAATTATTATCATTAAGATTATCATTATTCAGATTGATTTGTTTTCTTTGCAATATAACCTGTGGTTTAAATTTTCAGATTTGATGGACGTGTAGTGGCCAAACTACCTTTCATCCCTATTGGATGGATTCAAGGATTATCTCATAGAAATCTAATTGGCGATGATTTTAGCGATTGTTCATTCATTTTTTTATACATCCTATGCACCATGTCCATTAGACAAGTAATTCTTTTTAAATATTATGTTAACTGTTTAAAATTCCCTTTTATAGATCTTATATGTCTGAGTTCTATTCCTATATTATCTTGTACCTTTCATTTTTGTTATATTTTTTCCACTGTTAAGTAACAACAATAAACAAACTATTAATGTTTATTACGTTTAAAAAGTAAGCAATTTTGAATTCCAAGAATGTTAAATGCAAACTTTAACACTTTTCTACAAAGTTTCTGTAGTCATATGAAATAATGCGTTTAACATCATCATCAGCATTAATATTTCTGGGCAATTTTTTAACTTCTCAACAAATTCTTCATCACGGTAACCAACCATGCACTTCTATGAATGACATCACAGTCGAACAGAAATTTTTTTCAGCCCCACGAACTCCGTGAAAGCTATCTCTTGGCAAGGAATTTAGAGGAAAATAATATTAAATGTAAATTTTGTTTGGTTTTGGAATGCAAATTTGCACAATCAAGTTTTTCAATAAGAAATGCATTCTATTTGATTTTAATACTTTTTTAAATTTAGTTTTTAACATGGATTCGAATATTTGTTTTGTATACAATTTCTGTGTGTTTTTATGTATCCTCCATGTAAATTAATGTATAACTGATTCTTACTTCATTCATTAAGTTATGAATTACAATTTTCCCGTTAATTTTTCAGTTAGTTGAATTGTAGTTATCATATATACATAATAGTTGATAATGTATAATAATTTTGTTGATATATATAATTCTGTATCAATTATGAATGTTACAAAAATTACTATTTGATTGATTTGCTTGTGCAAATGTAACATTATTGAGGATAAATCTAATTGAGATTAAAATATCAAACAGATGTACTATTTTCTTTTATTGTAATAAAAAGAGAAAAAAAATCATGCAAAAAGCAGTTAAAAACTATAATTCCAAAGGTAAGTTGCACAATGCAGCAGAAATTCCACTAGAAAATTTTAACCAATAGAAAATTTTAAAAACGAAAGTAATGGAAAATATAATAAAGACAACCGAAGCTGATGTCGTCAGGAGGTACCAGCCTCGGTACCCCCTGTTGACGTCAGCTTCGGTTGTCATTATTATATTTTTCATTGTTTTCTTTTAAAAATTTCTATTTGTTTCTTTTATTGGATATCATTTGATAATTTTCCTTAAGTTAGATAATCTTTTTAACTATGTTTGCCTTAGTCCATTTAAACTTTGGTGTTTGTCAAATAATTTAAGTGAAATTTTAAATAAATATTAATTGAAAGAGCAGTACTGATTTCTACTGCAAAAATGTTTTNTTTTTTTTTTTTTTTTTTTTTTTTTTTTTTTTTTTTTTTTTTTTTTTTTTTTAGTATCCACTTTTTAATTAAGTATTTTATTTTTCAGAATATTCAGAAGATGCTTGGATTCGCTCCTTCTAGGACTGCTAACAAACAAAGTGGAAATATTTTTGCACCTTCAGCCCAACCAATAAAATAGTTTCAATAAATATATTTTACTTATTAATTGGTTGTTCTCCTTTCACACTTTATTCAAAACAGTGTTGGTACAAAAGTACTTTTATAATTTCTTAATAATTGAGAAATGATCTGAACAGTATTTTTTCTTTCTGTTATTTAAGTTACAAATTTTAGGTGACAAAATTATTAGCATTTTTAAAAGAAAACTTATACAAAATTTTGGAAAAGATACTAGCAGAGTTTAAAACCAGAACCCCTAAAAAAAAAATAAAAGAAAACCAGTTTAAAAATTATGAGTTTTAAAAATAAATTATAACTACAAGTGTTTTGCTTTATGGAACTATGAAGCTTCATATCAAAAGAAGGGATACAAAACCTGCTTACCGAATTTTTTAATTAATTTTAAACTAAATTCACTAATATGTCAGATAAGCGTATTATTTTAATTTTATAACAGTAAAGCTTTGTAATGTGTTATTTTATTCTAAAGTTCCAGTATTTTAAGAGAATTATCACAAGCAGTTTCAATATTGTCAATAGGACATAACTCCATCATTTGATCAAATTTGTCTTCCACTCAATAAATCGAACTTCCAATTTTGCATGTAATAATATTATATTAAAAAATCTTTGATTTTTTAGAAACCATGTTAAAATCTATAGTATTATACAAACGTCGCGGATTTAGTTGGAATCGAGTGTGTCAAAAATTTATTTTTCAAATAACCGATTCGAAATCTCGAGTACTTTAATTAAAGGCTATTTGGAAATGGTAGGGGGAGGGGAGAGATCAGAAAATTTTCAACGTCAGGAATCGAGCTAGTCAAAAAGTTATTCAGTTTCGCAATAACGTATTGAGTAAAAAAAAAAAANAGGGAGAAAGAAAAAAAAAAAAAAAAAAAATCGGACAGTGTGGAAAGAACCAAATAAACGATGGAATGAAGCCGTTCAGAAAGTAATCCAGAATTCACATTTGTCGTTATAAGTATTGAAAATATCGAATCTAAAATAGTCAAGGAATGGCTCCTGAAAAACAAATAATTGTCGGAGAAAAAAAAAATCGGATTCGGAAATTCTTGTTGAAAACAGCAGTGATTTACGATGGAATCGAGCTCGTCGGGTCGCCATGCGACATTATGGCTGAATTGTCAGGACGAGGTTCAACTTTAAACCTGGTCTAAACCGCGAAGTTAAACCAAACTGCACTGCAGGAACGAAGTTTAAGGAAAAACGCGGTTCTAAGATCTAGTTCAGACTTGTCTAAGTTAAACCTAGTCTGAGGTAGGTTTAAACCAGGCAGACGAGTTTTAAACCACGATCGTCTGCTTACAATCAGAGAACGTCAATCTCGTTTTCGTAGATGTTTAGTTCTGTATTGCTTTATCAGTTTTAAAATATAAATACTACGTGCATATTATTGAGAAACCATAATATAATTTAGTGTTAGTATCGTATATTTGTTTCTGTATCTTTTGAAGTGTTTATAAAATCTTATGAAATAATGCCTCTTTTATTTTCTGAATTGATAGTATACTATTCAGTAATTTTTGTTTTCTTGAAAATAAACACCGAGATAAATTTAATATCTCACTTGCTGAATGGGGCTTTCTTTTTGAGTGATTTTGTATATTATATTCAACCGCTCAGAAGATAGACCTTTTCGGAATAATAAAACGTGAGGCATACGAAATTACAAATTTAAGGATTAAGACTGAGTTGGCAGCAAAACTAGAATTAAAGATGCAATTGAAGAGTAGGAGCTGGTGCTCCAGTATACCTAGCCGCAGTTATCCAGTTCTCAAATAGTTCGCTGGTAATGCTGCCAGAGACAGCAAGAAGATAGGATCATCCCTAAACATCTTCAGATCTTCAACTCGCTACCAGGCCCCTCTTCCCCACTGGGCACTATGGGCACGTGCCCAGGGCCCCGCGATCTAGTTCCTGCCAGATTACCAAATGATAACCGATACATTATTACCGAAAAACATTTATTTTGAAAAATCTGATGATAATGACTTACTACAATACCTACGCTTATTATATTAGCTTTAGTTTGCCGCATGCGGATAGCTATACCTTGTACAACATAGCTTGAACTTTTTGACAGATGGGTCAGTGATGGGAAACAGAAAATATCTATTGGTGTAAAAAATGTGTTGGCTAAATATGTGGCTGTATGTATGTTTTAAACTATTCAAAATAAATAAATTCATTCGTCAATCAATTTTATTGCACTAGACATAAAAACATTGGGTAGGTAAGAAACCATTGTTTTCAGTTTTTCTATTTAAATTTTACCTCGAAGCAATAAAAACCACTTAAGACTTTCGGAAAATGCTTGAGTCCTTAACAGGTACTTTTATGTTGTGTGTCTATTCTTATGATTATTATCAATTTTTAATATTATTAAAATAAGAAGATATTGTTCGTCGTTGCAAAGTTATATCGATTTCAGATTTGACATCTGTCAAAAAGAAAGATCAAACTAATAAATAAACAGGGTATAATACTCCACTCTCTCTCAAAAATGAGTTTTTCCGATATTAGTATGTTTAGGTTAATTTAAATACCTATATGTAAGTATAAGAATACAATTTAAAAAAAAATTATTAAATTAAAAAAAGAATTATTTGATGCGGTGTGGTTTATGTCTTAAAGAAACCTATTCGAACGTCATTCGTAATACCAAAGACAAAAAAGGGGAATTCCCGATTCCCGATCGTCGTTTGACTTGACGAACGGGAATTCCCTTCAAGTATTTGTCTGCGATGTTGTGGCGTTTGTTTTGTTTGTAGTTGTTAGTTTGTTACTGACTGTGCTCGAGCTCTGATAAAAAAAATAGTATTGTTTGATTAAATCGTCGTTTTGTCTGTTTTGTGTTAGCGAATATTTTCGTTATAAAATTAATTAAATAGTGAATTATAATATAAAATGTCGAAACGGTCATATCCTAGTGGATCTGAAAAAAGGAAAAAAGCTCTACATCAGAAAGAAGTAATTGAAAAGTTACCAAAATTAACATCATATTTTACTACTACTACTGGAGAAACTTCTGTAAGTAGCAATCAACTCATAAATGTTCCACATGATGACTCAGCTCAATTACAAATTGCGGGAATTTCTAAACCTTCATGTTCCAATTTTGAAAAAGAGATTGAATCAGAAAGCGACTATTCCTACGACGAAAGTGCAACGACTTCAGTGACTTCACTAAAACCGACAACTCCAACTGTGTCAATTGAACAGCAGTTTTCCAACACAGAAGAATTAATATCGCACGATCCCGCCGATTATTTTCACGAAAAGTTTGTTGAAATAAATCGCGAAATTTTAATTCGTAAGGGACCAGTATATTTTCAAAATAAAGATTCTGACTTTTCCGAGGCATCCAGAACATACAAAGATGGTAATAAATTAGTAACGAGATATTTCAACAAAGCATTATTTATTCGCAAATTAAAGAACAATGAAAGCGTCGAAAGAAAATGGTTGCTGTATTCGCCTTCCAAATGCTCTGTATTTTGTTTTTCATGCTGCTNTGTTACTGTAACTCTGCAATAAATTATTCAATTGTTCTGAAATTTTAATCATTTACTATTCTGTACATTGTGTTCCTATTCACCAATTTTTGTTTCAATCGGACAACTCCTTCTTGGTGCTACGATTTTTTTGTTATAGAGTGTATTTGTATCTCCTTAGAGATAATAAATATTTACTTTTTTTATTGTTTTAAAACTGCGTGTTTTTAAAATATTTCTTTATAAATATGAAAAATAAATAATAGGTACCTTTTGAACTAATTCTAGATGACCATATACATTTCAAAATCTAGTCTTGTTTTCTCAATTACATTTTTTGTCTCAAATTTAAAGCCTAGCTTGAGCCTGTGACTTCATTTATTTTACTTTATTTGTTTATTTATTAATTTGCGAGTATATTTTACATATTATATTGTATGGTTCTCGAATGGGGGGAGGGGGCGCTAAAAAGGTATTGTGCCCCGGGAGCGAGTTAAGCTCGTTACGCCACTGGTTCGCTGGTAATGCTGCCAGAGACAACAAGAAGATAAGATCATCCCTAAACATCTTCAACTCGCTACCAGAAACGGCGAAGAGTTATTACGGCAAAATTTAATATATCAATCGAATTTATAAATTTTTTGCCGCCATTTTTTATAGTGAACATTAAGTTTTAGATGTAACTATTTTCGAAATCCAGTTCGAAAGAATATAACTAGCATTAATTTTTAGTTTCATGTAAATACCTGTTTTTAATTTGATTGTACCATTAGTTATGTGATGTTTCAAATAATATCCTACTTACCTTTTAAAAGAATAAGTTATTCTTCCTGATTCAAGTAACTAGAATCATAATTTTAATTCTTTATTTTATTGTATGAAGTATCTTGGTTTTTGTGTCTTCTTAATTATCCGAATTTTATTGAGAATACCCAATAATTTTTGTTTTTGAAAATATGTCATAGAAAAATTGTAGATTTTAAAACGTCCATGTCTCGACAAATTTCTTTTACAAGTTTCTGAATTTTTTTTCATTTTTGCTTTTTAAATAATATTTTTCATTTAAATAGTGGTAAGATTGAATCCATTATTTAAATATAGATGTCGTAAATTTACTTGATGTAAATTTGGGAAATTTTTATTAAAATGAAAGCAATATTAATTTTATAATTAGCGCTAAATGCTGTGCGCCTTAATGAGTATCCCGCCTCCAGGGGGTTTTGTAGTAGCACTAGAGCTGCATAATGAGCTATTTTATTTGATAACCGTAATTTAGCAGCTGATCAAATTTTGGATATGCGACTACCAATGTTCAACTCTATTGCCTTGTAATTTTGAATTCAATCCAGATGACAAGGGAACTCCTGGATCAAGTATTGGGGGAAATTTTCCTTTATGGAGGACTTTTCGATGGAATTAACCAGCATTTTAGTTACATGGAGAAGAAAACATCGACGGTTAGTCTGACGGGAAGGGGATTCTAACCAGTGCCGTAACTTCACTCCTCGGGGCCCTGTGGCAAACATTTTTGGAGGGGGCCCTTTCAAAAACTTTCAGTACTCCATCTCTAACTGTCATTTTAGCTATTTATGTATTATGTTAGTGAATATATTTATGAAAACAAGTTATTTGTTCGCATATAAATTGGATTACAGAACATTGTAAGTTTTAAACATGACAAAATGCAAAATTTCAGCGAAATCGATTAATCCTGAGAAATTAAATTTCAAAAAAGTCGTACTTGTAAGACTCGATTTCTCAGGAACTAATCAACCAATTTCGCTCAAATTTGTGTTTTCCATGTGGAATTAGATACTTTAAAATGATACGCAAAGCAAATTATATGCTTTACGATTCAAAAATTTTCAGGCTATTATTATCCCGAAGTGGAGTGATCGTTAAGACACGGTTCCCAGCAGATCACCGAAAGTCAAGCATCCCTGGCTGCGGTCAGTGTGCAGGTGGTGACCACTTGGATTAGCCTGCGTAGGGACCGAGGGTGTGCGGTNAGCACTTGACAGTAGAACAGTTTAATGAAGTCTAACACCGCCACCCTTGGTCTATTGCAGGCTGATCAAAGTAGTCACCCTTCCACAGCTAGTGATGCATGACTTCGGTGATCAACTGTGAAACTCCCGAAGGATTTGAGTCAGGTATCATTTAATATTTCTCTTGAAAATTTTTCAAGAGTGTATTTTGGAATTTTGTTGATCACGTAGGTAGGTATTCTATTTACGTCTCACAAATGCTGCACAATAGGCTATTGGCGACGGTCTGGGAAACGTCCCCGAGGATGATTCGATAACATGCCATAGCAATTTTGTTCCTCTGCAGAGGGGATAACTCCCCTGCTTCGGTAGCCCTTCGACCTGTGCGCGAAGTCGAGTACTAAACAGTAGATCCAAGTTGTCACCCAACCGATTACTGACAGCAGTTCTATTGGGGTGGGTGTTTTACTGTGTCTTTACAATCAGTCCACTGCGGGCCTTTTGTTGATCACGTGTATATTATTCGAGATATATAACAGTTCATACTTTTTTTTATACAACACTCTATTTGTAAAATGTAGATGGGCAGATATAGAAAATGATAAATACGTCGAGTAATGTATTTTTTTTAATGAAAATGTATTTCATTTGGGTATTAAAGGGAATTTTAGCAACCACCTGAATATGATAGTATAAATATTTAATATCAAATGAAAAGTCTATTGAAACAACGCATATGCTAAGGTTTATATAATTTAACCTATATAGAGAATCGATTAGGATGTCATATTTCAACCAAAACTCATTGAAGCATTAACTCTTTTAAGATGTAAAAAGTAAAGTCAAAGATTTATATTCTTTTTTGTTATCAATTTGTTTTTATCCTCCTTCTAACAATCTATAACTTTATATATACACTTTAAATTTCGAAGGAAAGCAAAGCATACATTAACTTTAATCCGAACCTGCAAAATCTTTAAAATATAAGAAAATGGCCAAAAATTTTAGGCGTAAACAATTTTTAAACGGAATCGCAAAACTCTACAACAAAATTTGTCATATAATTTATCTCTATAAATTAGCCAGCCAGGTGGCCGAGCGGTTAGCGTGCCTGACTGTAAAGCCAATAGCTGCGGGTTCGGATCCCGGTCTGGGCGTGTATGTTTCTCTCTATGTGATGTCCTCTGCTGTGTGTGAATTTGGCCCACTCTACGTGTGGCAGTGTGAATTGTTGCTCGCTTCAGTGACTTACATTCACAGGTGCCCACTGGGTAACGTTAAATGAGCAACATTTCCAGCATTTTCCCAGGTGAAGAACATAAAAGTTCAGTACCTGCCATTAGAATTTTTTTCCCCAATAAATTAAAATTTTTTAACTGTTTTGATATGATCTTATGATGAGTAATTAAAAATTTAATGATTTATGAACTTTTGATACTTGATAAAATTTAAACTTGCAAAAAATAAGCCAATATTACAACAAAATTGTAAAAGAGTAAGTGGCAAAAAATATTTAGAAATTTTTTCTTCTAATTTTTGAGAGCTGAAATGAGTTTTAAAAGTGGGATGATCAACTTTAACAGAATGAGATCAAGATTAGTTTGCAACTACAAAAATATTTTGGATTATGCTGCTTTATGTCTTCTAAAAGTTTCTTACTTTTGAAACAAAATAAAAAATCCTAAGACAATATACCCCTTTTATTTTAATGGTTGCTTTCCTAAATCAGTTTTGCCTCATGTAATTTAAAGGGAAAAAGTAGGAAACTATTTTATACAAACTTTATTAGCATTAAGCAGATTATTTGAAAATTTCGACTTTTTAAATATCAAATAAAATTTTAAATAAATGTAGTAGTTTAATCTTTAATATGGTAATTAAAGCAGATAATAAGAATATTAATTCATTAATCATTAAAGATAACTATGTGATTTATTTTAAGCAAATATTTTTTTTGTTAAAATTCAATTATTTTTAAATTTATAAATGATAAAAATGGTTTTGTGTGAAAATTTAACATTTAATGTACTAGATATTATAGCTGTATTTAGTATTTTTGCGAAGTTAATGTACTGTCTAGATTAAATAATAAAAATTTAAAAGATATAAGCTAATTAAATGTTGTTCCATAACACTTAATTTTTATGTGATGAGCATGTTTTTAAATTTCCAACTCCGTGCAAGAAATGGTTATACTTAACTATGCTAGAAATGATTTTTATTAGTTTACAAGTACATCACAAACACTGAATCTAATATGCAACAAAAGGCACTTTCTAAAATCTTAAAAAAATATTAAGGCAATGATGCAGTATGAAAGCTTAATCACAGTCAGAAATAAAGCATTTCAGATATGTTGTATATCATAATGACTAAATACAATGGGAATATAAAGAAAAAGAAATTTTTTTACAATGTTTACAAACAACTTTTACCTACATCACATTTATCTGTATTTAAGCAACTTATGAACTACTAACTAGGCAATCGTGCTTTACTTACATATGTTTCGAACAATTAACATTACAAGCACATAATGTTATATCAGTTTTAACTCACAATTTTAAAATAATTACAATATTCAAACAATAAAATAAAAAAATTGTGGAAGGAAACAGGACCAACAAATTTAAAGGCAAACATTAAAGAATTTTAAAAAATTGGTTTAATTTTTAAATAATTCACAGAATGCACATTTGCAAAGGTATTCCTAAAAGTACAAGTTCATAACTCATAAAATGAGACTCATTTGTTTAACTCATAGAGAAAGATTCAGCATGTATGGTTGAAGCAAGCTTTTGTTAACTTTAAATGGTATTTTCTCAAATAGATGTGTTAGCAGACACAATAACTTTTGACCGAATAAGTAAAAAATTAAAAAAATATTTCAATAAAAATTTAACAGAACACATTTTACTAATGTGGCTTCATTTAACACAAATTTTTCGACTATATTTATATTTTTCGATTGATAAAATAAATTAAAATTTGTAAGGTATTTTTTCAAATGTCTGATTTTATAAATAAATAATAAACTAAATGAGTGTACTAAACTGAACTATTTAAAGTTTGTCTCAAAATTATTACAAAAAATGTATTTATCTTTTTTTGCTCTAAAATGTACTGCAGAAAAAAAAAAGAATTAGTGACAGTCGGGTCTATTAAAAATGGTGTGATATATGAAAGGACAAAGTGTTTTCATAATTGAGCAATATTTTGAGCATTGTTGCGTCCATTCTGGTTGTTTTGATGATGATCACAACTGACTACTCAGATCATCTGATTAACTTTAGGGTCTTTTGACACCTAGGTTTTAGGTCAATAAGACTATAATCATGCATGCATTGAAGAATGAAATTTCAACAAAATGATTATTGAAAATTTCTGCAAAAGAGTGAGTGTGACAGCCAGCTCCTCTTCACTGTTAACTGATATACTTTATAAGTGAATAAAAAAGATCTTAATTAGTAATTAAAAACCTGAGTTTTTTTATATAAATCATAAATTATGTGAATTTGGAGATACACTGTACACGGTATTTAATTTTTGACAAATCAATGGGAAATTACAGAAGTTATTGTGTCTAGCATTGATAATATAATAACATTGGAATACAAATAATATGGTTAAAAAAAATGCCATTTAAAATTTGAAAGAGTTAATGTCCAAAATTTCCTTCAAATTATACCAAGTACAAAAAAAAATAAATTAAATATATGAGTACCTTTGGAAAAATGATTTAAAATTTTATAAAAATTACTTTTATAAAATTTCACAGCGGCATTCCACCCTAAGCAATTCACAAGATGATTATATACATTATTTATTTACCTTGAGCTGTTGCATCATAGTGACAAATAAAATACTATCACAAAGCAAATTTATTTTTGCTAGCTGATTTTGACATAATGGGAAAAGAATCTTTGGCATCACACTCTATAGAACATATTTATTAATTAGAAAAAATTTAAATTATTTTCTATAAAAAAAATTAAAAAAAAAAAAAAAACAGACTTAATATGTTATGTCTTATTTAAGATAATACATTTAGTGGAACCTGGATCCCAACATCTTTTGCTTCCTTGTATGCATCATTTTGTTTTAATGGTCCCATTACAAATGCTATTCTCATAATGTTAATAATACTTCTTAGTTAGTTTTATAGTTAAATAGGTTCAGAAATTTTATTGACATTTAACAAAAATACTGAAATTAATTAGTTTTGATAAGAAAAACAGTAACTCTAGATGCTAATGATAATAATAAAGAAAAAAAAAATAAGGATTTATTACAGCTTGGAGGGTTAAGTTTGTTGTTTATGCATCAGCTGATAAAAATGTTGAAACTTGGAGTTGTCTCAAGAAATGGTTGCAGAAGCTTAAGTGCAAAGTGATACCAATGAAATAGCGAACTTATCCGCAACCATCCTGGAAGGTCTTCAAACTTTCAGTAAACTCTCAGAAAAACTTTCAGTATTCATACGAACTTGCAGAAAATGAACAGTAATCTGTTACAAATGTCCAAGAAAAGGGTGTGTTCAAACTAAACTTTCCAAGTAATTTAAATAAATAAATGTTTATTTATCCCTTTTTCGCATAAATTATAAAAATTTTAACACAATCTTTTTTTACACATCGTAAATTTATTAATTTTTGATTTGAAAAGACCTAATTTGTAATTTATTAACTTCTTTATTACTTTTCATACATTTTCAAACCAATATTTAATATTTAAAGTTGATTGACATTCATCATTTTCCCGTAACGTTTTTAATGAGTGGTTCTTTGAGAAATCGAATGAGATTTATTGATAAATCGAGGTTCTACTGAATTAACTTACCTCAAAACAACTTTATCTATAAATAATGAATAAATTTAAAGACAAAAATGAATAAATATTTACATTTAAATACAAATCAAAACAAGGTAGTATTTTTTCTTTATAACGCTTGAATCAAAAAACTAAAGTAGGAAATTTTGTGAAATAATCAATTTCTTCAATGGATACATTATATAATGTATAAAACTGAGCAGCAAATAAGTAGAAAAAAAAGTTTTGGTTACTTTTATGGAGATTAAACTAAAAATAATAGTTCAACTCCACAGTCACTAAAAAAAGTTTAAAATTATTTTAGAAAAAAAGAGCAAATTTTTCAATACATTTCGAAACTTGCCATTTCAAAAGTCGAAAATTTTAAATAAAATATTTCTGAATATAGCTATCGTAAATTTGTCATTTGTAAATCATTATATTGAGCTAAAATAGGTATGAATATTGTTACAATAAATTATTATCTTAGTACTTTCAGTTGAGACTTCTGTAATCTTCCAAACAAAGATTACATTTATTTCATTTTAGTAAAGAAACTAAAGTTGCTACTAAAAAATAGAGTCTTTGAATGAAAAGTTATTAAAATTTCAACAAAGTACAAAAAATGTCAAATTCATCTAAATATTATCATTTGAAATTAAAAAAATTCTTTCAATTCATTTCTTTTCTTAACAAATAATGAATTAAACAAGAGAAAGTAGTACATCATTTTATCAACGGTTCAGTATTCTTGCCAGAGTTAATAAGCTTTTATAATTATCGAATCCTGGAAACCTGATTTGTTGAATGGAAGATAAATTTTCAAAAGAGGTGCTTTTGTTGGCTTACAAAAAGTTAGTGTTTAAAGCTGAAGCGCTGTTGAATCATTAAATATGATGAAATCACTGTACAAATAAGAATTGAATCTAAACTACAATTTTAGCAAGAAATTCATTAAAAATTTATAAATAAATAAAAAATTTCTTTTGCTATTAAGTTTAAAACTATTTCAAATTTAAAAAAAAAAATACCTAGGGTAATTTTTTGCTATTATATCTTTGTGCATTGTATGAATAAACTAAGCTCCTATCTTATTCTGGTTTAAAAAATGTAAATCAAACAAAATTTGCTTCATGTGTATCAAGGTTTCAACAAGAAGTAACATTGAAACATGTGTATGTTTTCCACTCAAAGTGAACCAACTTGTCGGTTCACTTAGGCAAGTGTATGACTTGTAAAGAAATTTTTGCATATTTCATGTTTAAATTTTTCTGTCACCTAACATAGGTCATCAACTTTTAATAGTAAAAATAAGAATGAATTTTATAAAGCTGTTCAAAACAACTATAATAAATAAAAATGGTCAGTCAGAAAATACTAAAATTTTTACAGCAAAAATGGATTTTAAATACACAAGAAGTTAAAAACGTCTTATTTGAAGACCAACAATAAAACTACTTGCATTTTTTTCTTCTTTCAATGTAATTTGGACGTAGACATTTGCCAATTCAAAGAAATTTCTTTGGCTAGGTAAAGTAGTTCATAACAAATACATAACATAATAAAAATGAAAGTGATAAAAAGTTTATGGCACATGGTCTAGAGGCACTTGGCATCTTCCCAACTCTGCAGCAAATTAAAAAACCATCTTAACTAAATCACTCAGTTGTTATTCAAAGGTCATCAGATTTTCTAAGTGCTAAAAAAAAAAAAAAATTATATCACGGTAAGAAAAAGCATTTTTTGAAGTAATTATATAATAATTTTCTTCTTGACATTCATGTCACATCACTATTTAGTGTTTCACAATTTTATGACGTTTAGTTAAATAAACTGACTTTTAAATGAAAAAAAAAAAAAAAAACACCATCTAACTCTTATGAAAAATGTGAAAGTAAGGACTGTGACAATTTGATCATTAAACTAGAGTCAATTAAAGCTATCAAAAAATGCTACAATGTGCGAAAAGGAAGCACATGTTTGTAAAAAGTCTCTATTACAAATACCTTATGTTAGTGTTTCCCAACCCCCGGTCCGTGGATCAAATGGTTCCGGGCCGCCCATTTCATTGAAATTGAATTTAAATTGCTAGGTTTATACCCCAAATTAAAGATATCTGTGTTCCATAAAAATTTTATTTATTTAATTGACTGTTGAATTGCCCCCGAAGGTAGTGAAATACATTTTTTAATGCTTGTAATGTATCATTGTCTCCGATTACCCCAGATGGATCCGTCTCATTGCAAAGAAACAAGCTCAGGGTTCTCATTGATTTAACGTTCCAGTAAGTTAAAATGTTAAATCACTTTATATTTATTTTTTTGGTGTATGTATTTTACTTTGAAGTACTGTATTTTATTTTGAAGGCATGTTTAAATACAATTAAATTAAAATTAATAAATCAAATTAATCTAAAATATAAACAATCCACACACCCCCTCAGTGGGTCGCGGTAAAATTATCAAACATTGACAGGTCCACGGTGATAAAAAGGTTAGGGAACACTGCCGTATGTGATTAAAATAGAAAAGACAAAACATTTTTAGCATTTAAGTTTTCTAAGGAGATGCTAGCCCAATGCAATTATGTACTTCCACAGAATACCTAAGTTTATTAATGTTGAGAAAATAATAGTAAAGCAGTAAACTTACAGTACATTCATCATACTGATTGGTGGCTTTTCTTAGGCAGTTAAACCAATGAACAGCCTTTAAAGGAGAGCCAGTACGGAACTTGTAAACATTTCCTCTCAAGGGATCAGTCAGTTGGAATGCATCAGATTGATTTCCTGAACAAACGACTAAGCACCCAGAAATATCAATGGACTTGGATGGCAGGCTCTTGAACTGAAAATTAACATTATTGTAGATACAAATTTATGAAAATAGAAATAGAATTGTGAAAAATTTATCAGGGTAAAAAAATGTTTTTCTTTATTTTTGGACACTCTTAGGACAATGCATTAAACATAGCATAACGAAGCATGACATAACCTAAGGAACATACATTGCTACATACAGTGTTTTCCCTAAGCGTTTTTAAAAAGGCGGCCTGCCTAGACTGCTACTTGGTTCCTATAAATGTGCCCTTTTTGCAAAAATATGCTGCCATCCCTTAAAAACACTGCATTTTTTTAAATTCATATTCCATTTAGAAAAGAATATTTTCATTGTTTAAATAATAATGACACACTGGTAAAATTATCTGTCTTGATAGGTTTTATTACAAATATTTACTTTGTTAAGATTATTCTCAACTGGTTAAAAATTTATAAGCATCTCTTTTTTCGGGGCTTGGTATATTAGTAATTTTTTTAAGTGGTTTGAAATTTATTTTTTAAATAAATACCTTTGTTTTTTTAAAAAAAAACACCTTTAAATGTTTATTTCATCATATTTTTCAGTTTAAATTATAGATGAAGCTTTCGTGTTAATTGATTCATGGTTGTTTTAGTGTACTTTTTCAGAAAAAAATTTATGCAGAGATATTGGTCTATTGGTATGCCTTTAATTATTTTTATAGACTATAAATTTTCTCTTATTTGGATATTGAGAGAAAAAATTATTTTTTGAAATATACACATAAAATAGTATAATCAAGTAATCTAAATTTTTCTTTTTTTTACGGAGCTAAGCTATTGCCCTGCCCTTTTTTATTCCTAGGTAGAACTCTGTACAATATTTAAATTTTACTTACCACCTAATTGGTTTTTCTAATAAAAAAATTCCACACAAGAGATTTTTACTTATTATATTTTACATATTTATACTTAGACCCAAATGTATGATTAAAATTTCATTGCAAGCAGAGAAAATACATTGTCTGCTTTTTCTCATGCAAACTATGTTAAAATTTTATATTAAAAAAAATCAATTTTCCTTCTTAAAGTAATGGAAAAACTCTCTTTAAAGTAATGGAAAAACTAAGCATAAAACTACAATCAAGTAAGATTAAAAATTTGACTAAAGTTTATGTTTAGGACAATTTTGACTAGAAATTAATTTAATTTTGATTGAACTTTAATCCCATTCACCTTTTTATCCCTTCTCTATTTCTGCCATAAAAAAGGTACTTTCATCTCTAGTTTAGAAGACTTTTTCAGAGTTTTACATAAGCCAAACAAATTTACCAAGCTAAAAAATTTTTTCACTTTAAACTTTTCAACACACACTTGAGTGCATAGGAACTAATGAAAAATGTAGTTGGCAGAAAAGCAGTGTCGCCCACATAATTAAACCCCCCTTCAAGAATAAGAAAAAAGAGAGAAATAAAGAGAATAATCCATTTAAGTTGTGAATATTTGTAAATAAAAATAACACTTGAAAACGACTTACATCAGACTTTTCAGTACCTCTCAGAGATTTGGGTGGGAAATAAATTAGAGTAGTGTTTTTAAGAACAAGCCAATACCTCATCCATGGTGACATCTAAAATATACATCATTGAATATCATATAAATACTACGAAACTAGTTGGGTATGTTAAAATACATATGAAACAAAATTTTGAAGAAAAAAAAAGAAACAAAACTTTCTAGATGATACCATTGTTATTTAATAACCACACTGTAGTTGAGAAAATTGTTAAATAAATAACAATAATTATTGTTCAAAGCTATTTTCCCTTACTTTGAAACTCTACATTCCATTTTTATTTATCTTAAAACTAGCCTTTAAATGTTGCACATTTATTTGTAAAATAAATTGCTATAAAGAGCCAGTTTTACACAGAATCAGGCAAGGTTGGATACTTGAATTTTATTTTAATTGTTTGTTAATTTTCTGGATATATTCTTTATGGAAAACTATTATACAAATTTTTTTATTTTTTAGTTTTGTCGAGTTTTTCTCTCTCAATGTTTTGGGAGTTTAAAACTGAAAATCTTAACTATATTTGAGAAAAACACATTAATTCATGAGTGGTAATATATCTTGTGAAAGGAGTCAGTAATAAAAGTTTTAAGTGGATAAGTGCAAAGAAATACAAAACTGTAATTTTTAGACACAAATATTTTGTAATTTATAAACTGTTAGTAAATAAAAGTCCGCCTATCCATTGCTTGCTTAGTATTGGAATTAGTATTTCAATTGCCTGGATAGCAATGTCAGGCTAAGAAATAGTTACAAGTCAGAACTTGCCCTAGATAAAACTTAATACAAAACCTGAATACTTAATATATTGATTTTTGATGCGATTTTATTCGATTCGGAGTCAAAAATGACACCAGAAACTTATTACTTGCCTATGCTATTATTACTTGTTATAGCTATGAATATGTTTTGCACCCTCCTTCTTAATTAATTCTAGGTAGAGGCTGAAGCTCTCATTGGGGAAGGATTTAACTTCAAATTTTAATATTGAGTCTTTTGGAATTTGCTTAAACGGGACTTGACTGTAGGTTGCTAAATACTGTATTAGTTTTTATTAAAGTTGTGATTGATATCTTAAGATATATAAAAAATGAAAGAAAAATTAAATGAAAAATAAACTATATCCACACACAAGGTTAATCAACTTACAGCTGGTTTCTTTCCTTCTTTTAAAACAGTCTTTCTTCTAACATATCCTTGGAAAGTGGCAACTGCATCAACATGTTTTAAGTTGATTTCATTACTTTCACTATAATAATAAAATAGTTTTAATTAAAAGAGCCCATCTTTAATTTTGAAAAAAAAAAAATGTGAAAAAAATTAATGCAGATGTATTGAAAGAGTTTGATTTAATCTGAGAATCAATAGCAGCTGTAATTGTGTTAAATAGTTGGCATAATACTCACTTTAATGGGAATAATACTTATGAAATATGGCAAGAACTCAAAGAAAATCATTTTCATTAACATTAAATTCTAATAAACTACTATTGCATAATTGAGAAATTCTCTCATGAAAAAATTTTAAACTAACAGTTTGGAGAAAAAATTTTTTATGAGAGAATGGACCAATTTCAAAATTAGGCAAATGAAAACAGATTTTTAACAATATTAGGACTTATGCCTTTAAAACCATGTATTTGTAAAATAAATATGTTAAAATCAAAATAATTGTGAAATAAAATCTAAGTATAATCACCTGCAGTTAAGGGGAAGATGTTCCATCCAAGTATCGAAATGATCATGAATATCTAAATATGGAAAAGATGGAAACAAATTTACACAATTGTATTTCACATTGATGTCATCAAAACGCATTGTGGTAATTAAACACACAAAAAAAAAAACTACAAATTTTATGGCATTGCATTTTAATTTAAAGTTTTCTATTGCACACATTTTTCACGCTATGGAAAGTTTATACACATTAAGAAAAGCACTTACAATATCCTTTTTTTTTAAAATAATAAAAAGTTATAGAAATCACTTAATATATTTTTATTGACAGTAGGGCATAAAAACAACTAACACACATTGTTTTGAAATATTTTTCTTTCTTTTTATAACCCAGCTGTGTCAAGTACGTAAGTTTAGGGTCTGAATTTATTAGAAGAAGAACTCTTAGGGTCTCATAACCTGCATCGTTCAGATGAAAAGACCAAAAAATGCTGCTGTCCGAAATATTTCACTTGAGCAGTATCATTTTTCTTTGAAAAGATAAAAAGAAGATAAAGATAGTGGCAGATATGACTGATTTATTAGTATGGAAATAGCTTAACCGATTTAGAATGACTGTCATTTTTATCTCCCTAGGTTGGATATTAAATATTTGATTATATATCATTAAACAAAAATTAGGAAGGCCATTTTTAATACTTTTCACTTTTGGCAAACATTTTAAATGGAATTTTTATTATATCAAAAACTTCCATTTTCAGGAAAAATAAAAACATTATAAAACTGTTACAAATCATAGTAGATATTGGCACATAATTTGAAATGAAAGATACTAATGGACCATCCGTATCCAACTATGGGTGTGTCTGCTTCACGAGAAAAAGTATATAGTAGTTAATTCATAGAAGATTCAAGAATTAAAAGAACTTTCCACCATGTGAGGCGTCTATTTTGAAGGAGTGTCCATAACGTAAAGTCTCACTGTACTTTCAAAATAACACCTTAAAAATATGTTCCCTTTCCACTGGACAACATTAACAGAGTGGAAGTAAAATATGTTAGGTTAATATTTTATAATGGATTTTTAATTAGTTCAAAATCAAGAGCAAAACAATAGTGCCATGATCAGTTCGATCCAAAGAAAATGACTAGTTACTCCGGACTTATAATTTTCTTCGGTAAAGTGTATTTCCTTAATTATTGTATTTTTCACCTGAACTAGTAGTAACCTGATATGAAAATTTAGTAAACTATCATACGTTAATTGTTTGGTGTTATTGTTAATTTATAAGTAAATTCATATAATTTTATGAATTTTCTAAATGTATAAGAAGTTTTTACTAAGCAAATACATTACAAATTATTTTGTTAACAAGCACAATGAACAAAAAATTATTGTAAGTAGTTGATTTCCCATAATTTTGACATTTTAAAAACAATTCTAAACGTGAAAAATATACAACTTTAAGCAAACATGCTTTTTATTCCTGGACATAGCATACATATAAGTATAAAGATATGTATTTTCTTTTAATGATATCATTCATTTCAATGAAAAAATACCAGACTATCAAACAAATACCAATAAAGACCAAAATAGATATTTTTTTAAAGAGAAAAAGAAGTTTAATTACCTTCTATACTTCCAAGCGATCTTTTTCTAGTGACAATTGGAGCATGCTCCATTATACTGTCATCTAGTAGATGCCTTTCAGATGAAAATGTAGAACATGAGCTAAAAAGAACAAAATTATGTATAATGAACACACAGTTAATTTAAATATAATTTTTAGACTACATAGAGCCCAAATTTTCAGACAAAATGCATGAATATATTTTTATTTCAACCTCTCTCCAAAATCCCCCCCCCTGCATTGAAAACATTTAAAGTTTTGCCTATTTACCTCATTTTGTTTATTTATTGTTAAAACAAATTTACCATACATAGATATTTATATTTGCAAATGGTTTAAAGTTCAAAAATGCTTTCATCCTTCATTTTCATTATGAAACTGAATGTAGTAAAAAGGAACTATCATGTTAAATAAGATAGATATGACTTGAGAGTATGTAAAAGTAAAACTAACTCCATTTTTTTAAGACACCCATTTACATTCTGATGCCAACTTTTGATGGGTTACTAGAACTGTAACTCCATGCCCAAAGATTTCTTAGAGTCCAGCAAGGGACCTCTAAAGTTAATAAAAGGAAAATTGAATTTTGAAACCATTTGAAAATTTGTTAGATATTTTCAGATTTAATGTTTTGCTATCTTGCTTGGAAATAGAATCATTAAAAATAAACAATGTATTTTGGATGTAAAATTCGAAGAAAAAAATTTTTTGGTTATGTTATTTTTTTCTATTCCTCACCAAACTCCCAAATTTATCTATTATTATCTTTATTATATCTATCTTCAAGCCCTTTTGTACTTAGTTTTTCTAATTTTATGTAATCAGCTACAAAACACTAGGAATATTCTGAAGGTGTTTGATTAGCAAAAACATACCGAGTTTAGATTTCTAAAATTTGCATGCTTAATAATTTCTACTATTACTCAACATTTATAATTTCGTACAGGATGTTTTTGCTGATATAGACATTTAATCGTATTTTAATGTTCTAAGTAATTATCTGATTTAAAAAAATATTAAAATTTTCACAAAGAATTCAATATTTCTGAATAGATAGGGATAAATTCTGGTTGATTTGGCACAGGTTGGGACCAAAGTATGTCAAAATTGGTAATTTTGTCGAAATTGGCTTTTAAAGGTAGTCGGGTACCAATGCTACTTGGACTACTATTAAAATAAACACTTTACTTTAACCTACTCTACAATTAGGCTGATTTTTTCTTCGATTTCGATGAACGGATGAAAATTAATTTTTTAACCGTTCTCGCCAAATCAAGTTGGGGTGCTATCTATTTGTTTCCAGAAAACAGGTTTTTCCACATAGTACGCTCAATTGAGAAATTTTTGCATACATTAGCCTAAGTAGCAAATCATATGAAGGGTGCAAATAATGCAGTCCCATTTCAAGTAGTCCAACTACATGGTTAAACAGGAATAAGAATTTTTTCATGAAGTCATTTACTTTATAATAGATTAGAAACTTTTTGACTTGCATTTCCAGTGTTATTAAGTGCTGAACATTTAGGCTCTACTTATAATACATGAAAAATAATTCTACCTTAATGTGTCCACTGACAGTGATGAAAGAACACTGAAAATGTAAATAAAGAAACATATTACTAAAAAGTTTTACAGAGTTATGTTACTTTTGTAAACAGTTTATATTGAGTGAGCAAGCAACAGAAGAATTACTCCAAATGTACAAAAACAAACATAATTACTTTGCTCCTAAGCTCCATGCTTTCCTGTGAGTTGGAACAAATCGAGAGCCATGTCCTGGCATAGACCTAGAGGAACGAGCTTCAAACGAGCCTGGAATTCCTAAATTGTTTCGACCTGAGAGTTTTAAATCTTCAGTCACTAAATGTCTGCGGCAGTTGTTTTCTCTCAAGTTTGGTGAAGTTTTTAAGGGTTCGAGTTCTAATGACAACCTAAAAAAAAAATATTAACAATAATTATTAGAATATGAAGAAAAAATATGAACTAAAAACAATATAGAAATCCAAATAGCACGAGATTTTTAAGATAATGAGATGAACAAAATGAAATATAAATAAATTTAAATGATAGAAAATAATAACCAGCAAGATACAAAGTACCAATCTAATCATGATGAAGGGTTGCAATATGCCTTAAATAAATTATTAAAATTTTTTTATTGGTATATTATTAAAAATCAGGGATTAATGAGAAATTTAAGCATGATGGTGGCGTGGCGATTGCTAAATATTGTACACCAGCAATATAATACTAAAAGTTTATTGAAACTTAATGGTATTGTCTACAATTGTTAAGGAATTGATTTTATCGTGAAGTCGGGCACATTAGATTTTTTTTTGTTGCTTTTTGAACCAGTTGTGCACCTCTTATTTAACTTCCCTAAGAAACAGATGTCTTTCAAGGTCAGATCTGAACTAAAATGTAGATGGTTCAATATCTTAGTTCGTATTCTGGTTTTAGTTATATTGCTCTTTGTATGTTACTGTACATGTATATTATTGTTAGAAAAACATTCTTTATTTTTAATTGGGGTTGAAAAAATGTAGTGAAATAGTCCATGCTTTATAATCAATAAATTTGGACTCAATATTTTGTATAAGCAAATTGTGAGAGTGATATGAAATTTTGAAAAGGTAACAAATACTTACATACAAAAAAATACTTATTTAAAAATTATAATTTACTGCCATATGATGACTTGATTTTTATATAAAATCACCCCACAGATAAGCAGGAATTTACTGAATATAAATTATGCCCATTAAGTGTTGTCTTTGCTGTGCTATTTTTACAAGAAAATTCAAAGAAATGTAAATTCTTTTTTAATAGAAATGAAAAAAGAAACTCATGTCAAACTTAATAAAAAAAACTTTTTTAACAATTATTAATAACACGGCAAAATTAAATAAAATAGTAATTAAACGTAATAGATGAAATATATTTAAAGTTAAATATGTTTCAAATGTTATAAAATGAAGGTTAAATATGTTTTAAAATGAAATAAATATTATTAAAAAAAATACAACACTAACTTATAATTTTCATCTTCAACAAATTTTTGTAGTTCATCAATGTATCTTACAGATTTTAAATAATTCTGAATGTGAGGTAATACTGGAAGATGATCTAGAAAAGAGAAAAAGGATGGATTTTTTTTATTTATTTAGAACACATAATATAAGAAATTAACAGAGAAATGTATAATCAATTTAAAATACAAACCATAATTTGACTGTTGATAATCAGCAATTATTCGAAGAATATTATTCATCTTCATTTGGCGATGATGATTATCTAAACCTTGAGTAGGAGGATGAGCAATGTCAATGAATACTAGATCTTTTAAGAACAAACCTAAAAAAATTTAAATTTATGAGTTGTAAGTCAGTCTAAAACTCTGGATAGTAAAAAAAATTTTCAGCAACTTTTTTCTTTCTTTTTAAAATATTTACATAAAAAAATCATACATCTCACTAACAATTTAAAACAAAGCGTTATTTTGAAATATTTTTAGAATTAAGTTCATTAAATACCCCTTGAATTTTTGAATAATTCTTAGCCAGTAAATTCTAGTTCAGAGAATTTAAAGTACAGTACAGAACTGATTTCCGTTATCCGGAAATCAGAAAACCAAAAAACCGGAACAAAATTCGATAAATTTTCTCGCCAATTTTAAAAAAAAACAAAACAAAATTCCCTAAGATTTTACGATTTTTCTTTCTTTTTTTAAAGATGTTTACCATCATTAGTGTGTTACTTCATCGTTTTTTCTTATTTTTAAGACTATTTCCATTTTTTTTTAGTTGGGTTTAACAATAAAAAAAACTGCTTTTTGTAGGGATTCAGAAAACCGGAAAAATCAGTTATGCGGAATGCGATGGTCCTGACCGTTCCGGATAATCGGTTCCCTACTAAACTAAAAAGCATATTTAACTATTTAAAATCCTTTGAGAATGGTCAGAAAATTTTACTTGCAGCTGATAAGACATAGAAAATGCGGTCAATGTCAGCAATTTAAAAGAGTTTTACTTCAGCTCTATGATACTTAAATAGAAGTGAAAAAAAATTATTCTTAAAATTTAATTCTACAATTTAAATGGTCTCTAATACAGCCAAAAATGAATGGGGCAGAGTTTATCCCTTAAGCTCTAAAAAGTTTAAACATATTTTAAAGATTTAGTCTGTAACATAATAATAGTCATACCATTTCTTTTTATTTTACTAAACTTCGTTTTTCATTACGTTATAAAGCTCATGATACTTCATTTGGACATGTGTTAGCTTCAGAATCCATAGACATTAAATTTAACACTGTTCTTGAACATCGCATATACATATCAAAAAATTTATCACTATTCATATGCTTATAAACTTTTTTCCCCCTTCCCTTTCATTTCAGGCAGTATTCATCAAAGACCTAAGAAACTTTATTTACATATTTTATTGTACTTAACACAGTATTGAATGCTTTAAAACAATTGTTTAAAAAATTTATAAAGCAATGTTAATGATTAGCTAAGTTTTTTGTGATAAACATTGGATTTTTTATTCTTTCATCTTGTTTTTTTTAGAATTTAAAACTACATAGAATACAGAACAAAAATAAGCAGAGGCACAACAAATTAACAAAAAAGTCTAGTAAAAATATTATACAGATTGAATAAACAGCGAATTGATACTGGGATAAATTATGTACAAAGCATAACTGTATAACATAAAATGTAAAACTTGATGACGAAATGTACAGATATTTTGAAAGTTATTGGCATATTGTGCAGTGCAGATCTTCGTTTTACAATCTATTTACATGAATCTAGTTCAATATAAGTAGTATAAAATTATTTTTATTTTTTAATTAGTATTTTAAGTTTTAGAATCTTTAATTTTAATTTTTTTTTTAGATTGTTAGTTGAGTGAATCATATAAAGAATGTCAATCATGAAAACGTTTAATATACATCTTCTTTAAGTCATAGATAAATAACCTATAGCATTTTATTGAATATCAGAATAAAGCAAATAATAAATTAAAGCAATAGATCAAACTACTTACCCAAATAAGGAATACAGGGAAGCTTGATGTTTGACATGTGATCACGAAGCTTTTCAAAGTTATTTGTATCCGAAAATAATTCTGTTAACTTGTCAAATGTGCTCTTGTCTCTTTTGGATAGTTGCTGAAAATATTGTGTTAGATTTATAAAAATCAGTAAAATCTATAAACTATATTAGAGGTGCACAATCTTTTCAAGAGAAGGGTCATTTGCACAACAGATTGACTAATGAACGGTGGTATGTTCAAATATTTAAGCATGTTGACAGCAATTACAGTAACTTTTATATACGCAGTGTTCTAGGCTCTAAATCTTTTTTAAAGTTAACTTATTAATATATTTGCATGAGATTAAATGCTTTAAAATATTTGAAGTCCTTTGAAATAGTAGAATCAAAACTTATAATTTAATAAAAATTTTTTTGTTTGTTATTTAAAAAAAAAATTTAATATACTCAGAATAAATATAAACCATGGGAAAAAGTAATTGTTTTTTTACGATGTTGCATAATATAGAACTCCATTTTAAAATAAATTATAACAATAAAGAACTGTAATTTTCGTAGAATTAAAGTAAAAATAAATATGAAATACTCTATTGGGTAATATAAATGCAAATTAGATATAATTAAAAAAAAGTTCATGAAGTTTAAATAAAAACAAAATTATAAAGCACAATAAGACTAAACTTATAGTTATGAATATACTTCAATTTTAGGATATTTATATTTAGTGAATTAAAAGATGTTTTAATATAATAGCAAAATTAAATGTTTTTTTTCTATTAAAAAAAAGATTAAAAATAAAGTTACAAAAAATTAAAAACAGTTACAAACAATAAACAGTTAAAAAATCAGGATCTCATGAAAAGATCGGGAATTTTTATACCATGTGGAAATGCAAGGCGCTAACTGCAAAAAAAAAAAAAAAAATTAAATCGAAAAGCATTTGTAGTTTTGTTGAAATCGGCACAAATAAAACGTACCAAAAAGTGAGGACTCTTAAAACATCCAATAAAAAAAGCACCTTTAAGAGCTTTTAAAATACAAAAAAAAAAAACACAATTAAGCCTCTTTTTTTTTTCGCTATGCATCATGATGTAAATTAAAAATCTAGTTATTAATAATCACAAAACATTACTTGAGACAGGAAATGTAGAAAAAAATCTATAAAAGATACATTTTTTTTAAAATTTTTAAAAATTTATTTTATAAACATGCAATTTTTAGACCCTTTCAGTTATAAGCTATCAGCAATAAATTATGAGACTAGCTTATTAATAGTTTAATTTAACATAGTATTTACACAGCACTTAACTGAAACATTGCTTAAAGAGGAAGAAAAAAATTTTTAATCATTAAAATAATAATAATGCAGTGAGGAAAAAAAAATTATTACTAGGAAATAGTTTTTAAAATATTTACATTAAATATAATTCCAGAACTTAAAAAACTATTACCCACTCACACTTGAATAATTCCATAATTTAATGGAAATGAAAAATTAAGTGAATTATACAAGTGACATACAAATTAAATTAAAAAACCAATTTTTTCAACATGCATAAAAATAAGACTTTAAAATATATTAATTAATTTTAAATGCATTAAACACCACATGAATTTTGCAATACCGCACCAAATACATAATGCAAATGTACACAATGCATAATACACAAATACACATATGGATATTAAGATATTTAACAAATATAAGTATGTGATAGTCGTCAAATAAAATGGAATTAGCTCTAACTTATGAAATAATGATTTTAGAAATATTTTAATTCAGAACACACATACTGTCCATGTATTTTCCAGTCTGAAAACAGATGCACTCTGTAAAGCTGAAATAACTGCATATTCTGAATGCAAGTTGTTGAATTCGTGAAGTCTTTTAGCTATTTTGATAAAATGAGCAATTATTTCAGCTCTGGATTTTGCTGTTTGTCCAGAAAGTATCTCTTTGACAGCCCACAGGCTGACCTAAAAACATATAAAAACTATATTAAAAAAATTTTCTCTTTCTAATCCAAAAACATTATGAATGTTTATTTATATTTACATGATTAAAACGCTGTGTGAATGCCACAACATTTGGAGCATAGGTCATTTTTTCTTTTTTGTTCCAACTGCAACTGGACAATTCCTGCAAAAATTAAATAGTTGAAATAGGATATATATTTTTTTTAACAAAAATATTTTGACAATTCTCACCAAATAAAACACAGTATGTCTTAAAGAAAACTGTAGTTGAGACATGAAAACTTTCTTAAATAATAAAATTGAAAGAAAAATTGAAAGTATTTTAAAGTATCACAGAACACCTAAAACAAAAAGATTGCTTGGCGTAATGCTCAGGAAACATGCGCCACATTTAAGTGGTTTTTGTTTCATTTATTTGTCATTGAATGTTTAGGATCAAGATTTATAGTTATTGAAATCTTAATAATAGGCATCATAATATCCACATTTTTAAATATATTGAAAAGAAAAAGTAAAGACTAATTGTTAAAAAGCTAAGACAACAGCCCATACCTCTATAGAAATATAACTTTCTCTCATTGCAATTGTTTTGAAATACTTAAAAAACTAAAACTGTTCACTAATTTTGAAAAATATTGATCAAAGTACTAAGAAATGGTGCTGACTACAACTATAAAAACTAGCCATACATGAATTGAAAAAGTTGAAAGACTGGCTCTATTTTTAAACATAAAAGCAATGTTTCAATTACAATATTTTAAGATAATACAATAATTAAAACAAGCATACAGCTCTAAAATGATAAGGATTATTTTCACTTTCAAAATTTTAACTGAATTATTACATTTTAGAATTCTCCAATGAAGGGAAGGGTGACAACAAGTGACTTGAAAGGTCACTAATGTATTAACATTGAAAATAAGACAAACCATTTTAACATGGATGTTTAATAATTAAAAAAAACTACAAATAAAAACAAAAAGAGGGATAGGTGAATGCTCAGGGAATAGAGCATTCACCTTCCAATGAGGTGAACATGGTTCGAATCCCAGCGGTGGCTGGCCCATACGAATTCTGCACACGGTGTGCACCAACAAATGAGCTGACGTAAAATATCCTCGGTGGTAGAAGGATCATGGGTTGGAGTCCCCTTGATGTCGAGCTAACCGTGGAAGGTTTTCACGATTTTCTCCCCCATGTAATGCAAATGCAGGTTAAATCCATCAAAGAGTTCTCCACGAAGGCAAATTACTAGCAATACTTTATCCAGGAGCTCCCTTTTCTGTATTGGGTTCAAAATTACAAGGCTACAGAGTTGAACATTAGTAGTTGTAAACCCTAAATTCGGTCAACGGCTGTTATAAAATTATAAAATAAAAACAAAAAACAGAAGAAAAAATAGATATTTTTACCTCAGGCTGAATTTCTCTGAATACTGCAATGTCCATTAAACATAATTGACTCTGTAAAAGAAATTGAAAGAAGATTAAAAAAAATCCAACTTTAGAAATTGAACAAATGAATTAATAGGAGGACGAATAACTCCTACAGCAAAGTCTTCAGGAGCTACTCTAAGCACTGAGAAAACTACAGCATCGTAACACTTCTGATGGGTACTGTCGCCATTCCATCGTGTATCTAGTGCATCGTGTGAATTAGAAATGCAACTAAAGCCCTAGAAGACAAAGCACAGTAATAAATTAGAATTTTACATACTACTCAAATTACATACTACTCAAATTTTACATACTACTTAAATTAACTAGTAAACACAATTACTTATTATTTACAAGGAAAAAAAGAACATAAAAGAAATTTATCTTAAAACAAAGATATGATATGCTATGCGAATAATATTTCTAAACATTTTTGAAGTAAGTTTACACTTTTTTTAGTAAAATTTTTGAGTGAAAAATTAAAATCTACTTCCAACCATTACAATCTAGGAAATAGTGATAAGATTCAATAAAAATAATAGAGTTGACTGTCTACCTATATGTTAGGTACTATTCTTCTAAACCTTTTTAGCGATACTTTATAGCAGATACAAAAGGTTTATTAGGAAAATAAAATAGTAACAATTTTGACAAAAATCCAAATGAAAGATTAATTTAGCTACAAATAAAACAATAAAAATAATACGCATATCATAGGTATGACAAAAGAAAATCTCAATAGTAAAAATAAAAATATTTTCACATTTTTATTTCTAACAGAAACGTAACTCACAGATAATTAACTAGATAAAAGAATCTCTAATATTTTAAATACAACGTTAATGAGAACATGAAGTTTTTATGGTATCAATAGTTCCAGTACTTTCATGTACAACATGAGAAGTAAACGAATGGAAAGGTGCAACATGAGAACTTAAACAAGCTTTTCCTTTACGAATAAAGCAATCTCAAATTTAGACTATCTCAAATTTTGATAATCTGTAGACAAAAAACTGAAACAAATATTCACTTCAAAATCAACAGAGTAATTTGATACTATTAATATATGGGGAGATTCATAGGATTTGATGACACACATATTTATTTCCTTTGTTGAAAAAAAGTAGATGGGAGAATATATCGCTTCTCAAATGTATGTTTCCATATTGGCATCTCAATATGGATATATATTCACGCCAAATGAAATTACCTAGTTGTTTGACAAGTAATAAATTGGAGAAAAAGCATTATATAGTTTGTCTAAAGAGAGAACTCCCCTAGCCAATCCTACGGACCCGTGGCGGTTAGTATGGCAACGAGGTATAACTTTTTCAAGTAGGGGTGTGGGTCACTGTTTAGGACATGTTTTGGCTCGGATCAGCGAGAGAAAGGGAATCACTTTCTTCAGTCTATTGTGTTAGCCCTAGAGTGGAGAGAAGCTACCCTCCCTGAAATGCACTATTCTTGTTTCCATAGAAGCAGACGGCCTCAGACTTTTTGGCGGGGGAAGTTCTTACCATAGACAAACTATAGATTACCCAGAAAAGAGAGAGAGAGGTGGTTACAAGTTTTACCTTTAGAGTTTGCCCTATATTTCTTTTTAATTTCTTGTAAGCTACAATACAGAAGTCTCTAAAACCTGCAATTATTTTGGAGGAGGTGCTTACACAAAAAACTTTATTTTCTCACAATAAACAGGATGAAGCAAGACAGCTTTTATTTGAAGTAGAGTATTTGGAGATTCAGGTTTACATTTGTATTGAAAACACCATAGATATAATTCCAAAATATCAAAATAAAAATATTAATCAAAAATATTAAATTTACTTACCTCATTTTTACTATGTGAATTCATTTTGGAAGAGGAAATATCTGTAACCATTTCACAGTACTTCATCTTGTGACAATTGTGAAGATCCTAGTGCTAAGAGCAGCTACACAAATTTCACAAAGCCTGAAAGAAAGAAAAAGTTGTATTGCAAAAAAAAAAATTTTAATTAGAAATATTGATTGATAACACATAATTATAAAATTATGATTTAATTTTAAAATTGCAGCAATAAAACCTGAAACAAGATACTTATAAAAATATTTTTTTACACTAATTCTGTTGAGAATTTTGACTTAGTAATAGTAAAAATGAAAGGAAGAGCTGTAGTTGCTCTATAACAGTGTTCCCCAACCCGCGGTCCGCGTACCTGTACGTGGATCAAATGGTACCGGGCCGCACATTTCATTGAAACTGAATTTAAATTCCTAGGTTTATACTCCAAATTAAAAATATCTGCGTTCTATTAAAAAAAAATTATTTAAAAAAAAAAGGCCCCCGAAGGTAGTGACATAATTTTTTTTAATGTTTGTAATGTATCATTGTCTCCGATTACCCCCAGATGGAACCATCTCATTGCAAAGGAACAAGCTCAGGATGCTCATTGATTTAACGTTTTAGTAAGTTGAATTGTTAAATCACTAAATATTTAATTTTTGGTGTAATTGTATTTTATTTTGAAGGCATGTTTAAATACAATTAAATTAAAATTAATAAATCAAAATAATCTAAAATATGAAAAATCAACGTCCCCTCCCCAGCAGGCCGCAATAAAATTATCAAATGTTGATTGGTCCGTGGTGATCAAAAGGTTGGGGAACACTGCTCTAAAACATAGAGGAGCTGGGGTTAGTTGTTTGACTTTTCTGTTTTTATTTCTTCCCTCTAAAAATAAAATAAAAATTGAACATATAATTTGATATTTTTTTTCAATTAGAGAAATCACTTATTTTCTCCCATTTATGATTCTTTTCAAAAGACTCATTTGGTAATTTGTAATTTTTTAAAAACAGATCTTTAAGAAAGGACCAGCGTGCCCTGAGATTGAGACATCTCATGGGGTACATTGGACCACAAAAATAATGAAATAAAACATAATAGATCAAAATATTTTATAGCAAATTAAAGCAACCAAAACACATTTCAAACAATAGCGTTGTAATGAAAAACCTGATATTTACTTAAAGGGATTCAAGAAAAAAATTTGAATTATATCAACGTCATGCACTATTATTTATCAAAGGATTTGCTGGACATAAAAAATATTTTTATCAGCATTGGAATTACATTGACAAAAGGTGAAAAGCAACACTTCTGACAAATTTTATTCTAAATTGAATAAAACTAGTTTAATGTAACTTTGTAAAGAAAATCAATAAAATACATATTTGCAGACAAGATGAATTTAAAGTAATTTTTAGTGCATCTATATAACATGAATAGTGAAAGTATATTTTTAAGACTTTTCTACTTTTAAGAAAATGTAAATACATTTGAATAAACATTAATGGGAACACATAACTTAATATGTCTCAGTTTTTAGTGAACCAACGAACCCCATGCTCTGGGTTTGACAAAAGATCACAATAATTTCTTTTCTATAATGGAAATTAAAATAGTTGCAAGTAATTAATAAAATAAAGACCTAACCTTGTCAAATAATTGCAATTTATTGTTCTATTGTTTTAGAAAAAAATTTTAAAAGGTAAAAGTAGTATAGTTCAAGACATTACTTAGGTATGCTCAAATACAACTTGTTGAAACGAAAACGGCACACTTTAACTGACCCATCCAATTCCTTCATATGAATTGTGTTAGACGCACAGCATGTTAATGGAGAGAAAAAAATATTTATAGCATTAAAATAATTGAACCCATTCTAACATGGTTCAAAGTCCCAACTTACCCAATTTCCCCTTATTCTCAAAATTTCATATTTTAACCTTGAAACTACAGCTAATAAAATAAATAAATAGTATTTTCAAATTGTTGTGCAGTGGGAACCACCGTTGAAAAGCTTAATACATATATAAGAATAACTACAAACTGTATCTGGTACCATGACAATTTTTACATTAAGATTTCTGCTACCTTTATTATCGTATTGGTGCTTGCACTAAAAAAAGTGATAGCTGAGCGGTGGCATGTCGGAAACTAATAAAAAAACATCACAGGAAAAGACTAACTAGAAAGGTATAACTTCATGCCACTCCAAGATAAATACAATAGCTTACCATCTTGGAGATAGTAGTTGATACAAAAAAGTAATAATACAGAATATATCTGGATTACTGATTAAATATAAACAAATAAAAACATCTTTATTATGTTTCGCAGTGAAAATCATTATAAAATTGCGGCAAATATTATATCATAATAAAATCTGTTATATCTCTGTATCCAAAGCAATGCTTGTGAGACTAGTCAAATCATTATACAGATATTTATTTAAAAAGTTAAATAACTCATCTTTAGTATGTATTAAAGAAACACATGAATTTTAAGGTTTATGACAAACAGTCTGTAATCACCAAAATGCAATGACATGGTTCTTGTAAAAACAAATTAAATTAAAAAACATAAATACTATACAATGGCTGAAGGTAAAATGCTTCATATTTCAAGTTTACCCACTATAATGTTTTTAAGTGCTACTGACACTTTGTCATAAAAATCTTGGTGCAGGTACTTATAACTTTAAAAATTAGCATCACAAAATCTTTTAGAACATATCAACATTTTCAAACGAATATATTGACAAAAAGATTCATTAAACTCATTTTGAGCATTATATAACACATGATTACCTTTTTATAGTCATACTCATTGAGATAATCAAAATTTGAACAACACAAATATTAATTCAAATCATTCCAAAACTGAAGATTAAGATAAAATTAATAAAACTTAATATTTAAGTTAACATAATTGTAAACAGTTTGCGACGAAAAGTAAGTAACAACACACAAGTAGATCAAAAGTTCAGAATATTCTAAATTAACCTCGGGTAAAGATCAATCTAAAATGTATAAAATTTTCCACACTTAGATAAACATTAGTATACTCAGCAAAATATAAATAACATAAATTTAATAATTCTAACGGACTGACTTACCCAAGGAAATAATAAATCCTCTGTACAATTAAGGTAAATCCTCTGTACGACTTTTTTTTCTTTTTTTTATAAAAACCATAAAAATATTAAAATTGCTTACAGCTAGTAAAGAGATTCTATTACAATACTTAGAAAATTTAAAAAAGTCGATCTACTGATTTCAAGAGCTAATCAAAATTGATAGATATAAATACATTAAAAATACTTACATAATTGATTAGTAAGAGTGAAGAAAATATATAAAAAATCACAACGTAAAATAGTAGTTCACAAATATTCCTTATTTTCTAGTCCAAAAAAACGAATATTTGACATTTGGTATTTAGTATTAATTTCTATTTACATCCACATGACAAGACAGATCTGACATCAGCCTTTCCGGCGACGGAGATAATAGTTTCGCTCGCACTTTATTTAGGAGACAAAAATCTTCAATTTTCTCAAGGTATACACTCACTTTCTCTGATGTAATGCTTATTAGAAGATCATAACATTCCATAGAGTGGGTGTTTCACGAGTAATCTAAAATACATTTTTATTTTGCGTAATCGCTACAAAGGAAGTACCAAGCTTAGCAGAGAACAATTCTTTTTTCTCTTTCGCCAAGCGTTACGCCGCAGATGGAGGTTACCGTTAAAAAAATCATGCCAATTTTTCCTAAAGCGATGCCAAACTACGCCAAAGCTTCAGTTGCGTGCTTTTATGCTTTTTTCTATTTGTCTTTCATTATCCTTCTTAAACAATCAATGATTCAATGTCAATGATAACAAATAACCCTTATATCATCTTATTCATGGAAATAGAAAAATAAAAATAATTTTATTCAGATTTGAAAATAAAAAGATATTGCAGCGCTTCATTGAAAGATGATTTGGTACTTATGTATTAAAAGATTAATTTGTGTTTTTTTGTTAGCAATTAAAGACAATGGGTAAGCATTGGGATAAAAAGTAACTTTAAATAAAAACAAATAAAAAGAAAGAAAGAAATTATTAATCTGATTTTAATTATCAATCTGAGATATTATTCCTTTGATGTAAACTTACTTTTAAATTTAATAACAATAAGTAAACTATCAGAAGGAATTATGGTCCGTAAAGTTGTTTCACTAAATTTTCAACAAGAACTTCACATTACAAAATTATTTTATAATTAATGGAAAAAACTGGTAAAACATGAAGTAACTTAAAATAAATAAAAATTAATTTATACATTCAAAGCTTTTTTATATGTATAATGTATGCTGTGGTTATGGAATAGAATTTTAATACTATACGAACAAAATATTTTTTTACGAGGTGAGGTACTTGGGCTGTAAATACCATAACAATTTAAATTTAATTATAAAATTCGATTAATTAGGATTAATTTTTTTTAATTCTAATTTCGTACTATTTTATATTTTTCAAATGCTTTAATAATTTCCTCCAAATTTTTATGTACAATGTCTAAAATAAAAAACAGAGTGCCTTACCATTTTAAAGGTGACATTTTTTAAACAGAACCGTTCGACTTAAGAAAGAAAAAAATAATTTTAATTTTCTTTAATTCCAATTTCTTACTATTTTATATTTTTCAAATGCTTTAATAATTTCCTCCAAATTTTTATGTAAAATGTCTAAAATAAAAAACGGAGTGCCTTACAATTTTAAAGGTGAAATTGTTTGAGCAGAACCGTTCGAATTGAGAAAGAAAAAAAAAATTTTTTTTAAATAATTAAAAAGAAAAACTTTTTTGAAATTTTTATTTTTAAAATTTCTGGATTTTGTCATTTAAAATAGTAATTTAAAATGATGTTAAAATTAATGTTCGCAATCGCAACATTTGAATACGCAGTCATTCGTCTCAAATAACAACACCCTATAGGTCGGTGCGTTCGCGAATACTTTACAATTGGGTATACTATAGCCTACGTCACAGGTTGTGTTATTCCTACTAAATTTAACCCATGAACGGCATTTTCTGCGAGCCTAATTTCAAGCCACAAATAAACAAACGAAGTGTTTGATCGTTTAAATAGCTGCTCGCCAGATTTTATTGCATTATAAAGAAAAGTAATTGATATTCGATTTTTGATTAATAATTTATTTATGTGGATAGTGGCATAGAATTTCGCATTGCGTCATGGTAAGTGTTATTCCTACTAAGTGGAAGTAGTTGTGTTTTTTTTATATTATACCCATAATATGCTTGTTTGTTTTTTGTCGTTGTAAAATAAAGTATATAAAATAATAGTAAAATAATTCGAATAATAAAATAATCTAATCTAATAATGTAAAAAATAATAATGTAAAAAATAATAATGTAAAAGAAAGCACTTAAATTTTAAAACGAATTATTTTAAGATAAACGAGTTTAATAGCTGCGTGCAAATTTCTTGTTTTATTTAAAATTGTTCTATCGATATCAAAAAAGCAAAAAATAGGGGAAAAAAAGCAAAACATTAAGGGTTAAAATTTTTCGTTCGCTCTTCTTGAACAGATTTTTAGGGAACATATTTTCCAGCTAGTCTAATATTTGGAGGCTAGTTTTACTAGTTTAATATTTGCGGCTAATTTAATATTTTGAGAATCAGAATCAGTCGGAAAAAAATTTTCAGAGAAAGTATGCTTTTGTATGGTTATTTATTTTGCGTGTGTGTGTCATAATTCAAAATATCGTCTGGACTGGCTAATTAGCATATTTAAATTTATCCCTTCGAACTTAAAGATTGAAAAGTCTAAAAGTTATTTAGTTCAGTTTATTATTTTGCGCACTGTTCTTCAGATTGTGTTGGTTAAAATATTAATTTTCAGTGTTGCAAACAGAAAAAAGAGTTTTTGAAAAAAGTGAAAAGAAACGAAAGAAGAAAGGAAATTAGATTAAGATTGAAAAGATCAAAAATTAAGTTCCTTTTATTATTTTGAGCAATGTTCTTCAGATCGTTTGTGTGCAAAAATTAATTTAAGTGATGCCAACAAACAAGAAGATATGAAATCAAATTAAGATTAAAAAGATAAAAAATTATTTAGTTCCGTTAATTATTTTGCGCATTGTTCTTCAGATAGTTAGTGTGGAAAAATTATCTTAAGTGGCCTAAAAAAAACGAAACGTAATGTAACGAAAGAAGAAACGAAAATAAATCAGAAAATGAAAAAGGGGCATCTTTTACGCCTTCATTGTGTACAAATGCCTCCTTCCAGCATCGATTTTATAAAAAAGCGAATGAACTTTTAAAACCACCGCAGTCCGAACAGACAGCCATTGATGACGGCTGGAAAAAAAAAACGCACCTGTTGAGAAGTTGTTAAGAACGCTGTAGAAATCAGTTTGAATGAAATTCGATTTCCTAGTTCGCGTGTACTTATGTGTTGGTATAAAAATTAATGAGGTAAACGTGATGAGCAGCTGAGGTTTTTAATGAAAAGAGAAAACAACTACACGGTAGTCTGCCTATAACAAAACACTAAACAAAGGAAATGTGTTGAGAATATTGATTTAGAAATTACTACTTTTAATATAATTAGAACTTTTAATAAAAGATTTCGTCCAATTTTATTTTATTTTATTCCAGAAGAAACAATTTAAGTTCAAATATATAGAAAGAAAGAAAAGAAATGCTGTGATTGATAGCACATAATCTTTTATTTTTTTTCAAATTGTTATTCCATTTTTCTGAACTGTTACTTCTCACTAGGAAGTGAGAAATAACTGGTAAAAAAAGTATCTAACATCAAGTGCGAATTCGAAAGGTGTAAAATATCCGCCAGCCTAACTACTAAGACTAATTAACTTTTATAACATGTAAAGGACTGTTTTCATTTATAAAAAAAAGATAAAAAGAAATAGTGGTATAAAAGTTACAATTCATTAAAGCTTCACAATTACAGCTTCTCGGTAAATTTTTAATAAATCAGGGCTGTAAATATATGAAGTATAAATGTTAATAAGCTTTAGCAACCATGGATACACTGCTTTTTAAAAACCAGCTAGAAATTAAATAATTTTTTAAAATTTTATTCGATAAAAAGCATTAAGGACTAAACATTGCAGTAGCTGGAATTTAAAGAAAGAAAGAAAAGAGATACAGTGTTTGATAGAGCATATATGTGATCTTTTTTTTAATTGTTATTCTATTATAATTTACATTTTTCTAAATAGTTATTTCTCACTAAAATGAGAAATAACTGAATTGCTAAAAAAAAATCATCTAATATCAATCATAATTTCGTAACATAACATAAATATCCCTAACTATCAAGACTGATTAGTTTTATAGCATGTAAAATACTGTTTTTTTTTCGAGAAGAAGTAATTAGTCGTGGAAAGTTATAATTAATAACAATAAGGGCTTCGCAATAATATCTTCAACTATAAGAGATTATACGCATGTAAATTTATAAACTTTAGTTAGCAATCACGGATACATTGCTTTCTAAAAACCAGCTAGAATTAAATAGTTTTGTAATCAGTTTTTTGCTTTCTCCTAATAACAAATATCCATAGTAACAATATAACCACTGCCGTTCGCAATCAATCCACCCCAAAAAATAATAACTTTGAAACAAAATAAATTTTTAAAAAAAACTAATCACCCGCATCAATAACACTTTTATACCATAAAGTTTCGTAACCATCTCTCTAAATTTTTTTTCATTCAATTGTTTTTGAGTTATGAGAGTGGGAAGTGCAGACGACAAAAATCTTTAGTAACAGCAAAATAATAGCATTTTTTCTTCTTTTTTTTAAAAATTTAGAGTTAACTTCGTTATATAACTTATCATTTTGCTTAATTTTTTATTGATTGATTTTAGTTACACTATAGCTTGAACCATTTTGTTGATTGATTGATAGATTTTAATCATACAATAGCTTGGGCCATTTTAGGCTTTAAAAAAAAATTAAACGTGAGCAGACATCTCCAAAATTCTCAGCCCGTCTTTCAAGAAGTCCGTCGCTGTTCGTTGGAATCCAAATACATTAAAAATATACTGTGATTTTAAATGTTTTTCAAATTTTTGTTTTAAATAATTACAAAGAATTTTTGCTATGTTTTACGTTGATTTCTAATCGATACAGAAACTGAGTGCAAAATTAGCATTTTATTTATTATAACTAATGCACTTTTTTTACACAAATTTAGCAACAAAAAAAAATTCAGAAAATTAAATAATTCTGAAACTTAAGAGCTTATTGATTTCGGATCACACGATATTTAATTGAAATCAATTAAATAAAAGCATGATTTTGATTAAATTTTTTTTTCTGTTTCGAAATCTGAATGTTGTTAAAGATATCCATTTTGTCAAAAATTTTTCATTAAACAGCTTTAAGCTGATTACCGAAGAATTTTAGAAAAATTTTCGATGCATGTACATAAAAATTATTACTCAGAAATACAGAAAAAAAATTTACTTGCACATTATTTTGTAAAGAGTTTAGTAAACATTTTCTATGGCTGAACCCTCGGAAGTGCAACAACTATTATGTCTACCANTATTTGCGGCTAATTTAATATTTTGAGAATCAAGAATCAGAATCAGTCGGAAAAAAATTTTCAGAGAAAGTATGCTTTTGTATGGTTATTTATTTTGCGTGTGTGTGTCATAATTCAAAATATCGTCTGG